GAGAGAGAGAGAGAGAGAGAGAGAGGTAGACAGTGAACGGTAGAGGGAGCCCGTCAGTTCGCTGGGTCGGTGCACAGAAGCGGATCGTCAGTGAATCAGCGGCTTGTTGTTCAGGTAAAATACCAGCGTGTTTTATTCCTGTGATGAAGATGAGAGTGACGATGAGGATGGTGTGGGTGGTGAGGACGCAGGTGTGGGTGAGGATGGAGATGGAGAGAGGAGGATGGTGGAGAAAGATGGTGGAGAAAGATGGAGGAGAGAGATGGAGGAGAGAGATGGAGGAGAGAGATGGAGGAGAGAGAGGGAGAGAGGGGCGCAGTTAGAAACAATGTGGAATGAACGTGTTCCTCATGAACAGCCTCGGGCAGCTGAGAGAATCCAGATGTTGTTTCGTGTTCGAGCCTCATGTGAATTCTTTATTCTCGCCTTCGTGTGTGTTTGTTGCGTGTGCGCGTGTGTTCATTGTTTGTCAGCGGGGCGTTTCTCCTTCACTACGCACATTGTCCTCAGACCCTGTGTGACGCCCGGAGGTTCTGCTGGGTCTCCTCCTCTGTGTCTGGTTCCACCGGAGGTTCGGATGATGGACGCGGTGGTTGGATGATTATCGTGCGATGTTTTGTGTCTCGGGTTTGGTTTGTTGTAAAATGGAGGCTGGAGGAGGAGGAGGAGGAGGAGGAGGAGGAGGAAGATGCTGCCATGGCCTCCTCCTCCTCCTCCTCCTCCTCCTCTCACAACCTGCTGGTACCATCACTGTGTTTATAACACTAATAATCCTTCATCTACAGATGAAGACAACAAACCATCAGAGAGAGTGTGTGTGTCTCTGTGTGTGTGTGTGTGTGTGTGTGTGTGTGTGTGTGTGATGATACTGATTCAACACAAGGTCACTGTAAACATACTGTAAGAATTAGATTAATTTAGATTGTTAAAATACAGACTGATGTCGTGTAACATGAATAACTATGTACTAATTTAATGAACATTTGTGAATTATTATTATTATTATTATTATGTGAGGCCACTAACACAACATCCCCACGACTGAGCTTTAATTTGAAAACTCACCTATACAGATATGACGTCCACACTACAGAGACGACTCAGGGGACGTTGTCCTTCACCAAGAACCTAAAATGACATTTAAAGGTTCAGTGTGTAGAATTCAGTGATCTAGTGTTGAAGTGTCAAGTTGCAGCTGGACCTTTAAGACCATTTTGAAGTGTTGTTAAGCAGGACACTGTCCCCGTCATCTTCCAGACATGACAAACTTTCATTTCTGCTCAGATACACCTGACGTCCAGTTACTTAAGATTGAACTCTGGGGGGGGGCGACCGTGACATACGCTCATGACCTCTTGCTGATGGAACCTCTCGACTGATTCGTCAGGCTGCTGTCACATGACCCCTGTACAGGAGAACACACACAGATCGTCTCAGTTAAATTAACACATATGCTATGAATGTGGCCTCACTTTAATTCGTACAGGGGACGATTCATAAGTTCGTAGTTGGAAGGAGTTGATTTTAGAAAACGTACCAATGCATTTTTTTTTTCAGGCTGCCATGTTTTTAAGAACAGACGTAGATTCTGGGTCCAGAAAGTGAAGCCAATGCAGAAAAGGCCTGAAACCTGTCTTCTGTGTAATGTCCAGCAGGGGACGACTTCTCTGGTAGTTTCTACAGAAGTCTATAGAAAATGACTCTACTTCTCACTTTATAACGTCAGTAAACATGTTCCTCAGCAGTTTATGTCTCTAGTTTCAAGTCTTCTTCACTACAGCTGATGTTCATGTAGTCTTCAGGATCTGACGTTCCGTCCGTCCACCAGGTTTGTTTGAAATCTGTTCTGTATTTTTTGTGTAATCCAGCTGAGAAACAAACAAACAGACAAACAGCAATGGAATCACCAGCTCCTCAGTGGAGGTGATCGATAACAACACGCAGAGTCAGTGTCATCGAGCAGCAGCAGCAACAATCCAGAGGTTTCTGCGTGATATTTCTGTTTTCACGTGTGTTCACGCTGACTCACACAGTCGTGTTGTGTAACCTGTGGTGGCCTCGGCTGAGTCCTGGTTATAGACTCGTTCAGACGGCTGCTGCACTCTTGGACTGAGGACATTTTGGCTCGTCCACATTTTCTGACGTGTGTGTGTGTGTGTGTGTGTGTGTGTGTGTGTGTGTGTGTGTGTGTGTGTGTGTGTGTGTGTGTGTGTGTGTGTGTTACACCTCATACGGCCTTCACATAGTCCTTCCTAATGGGGACAAAAACGTAAATCATTACATTTTAAGGTTAAATTTAGGTTCAAACAAAAAGATCTTCAATGTAAATGAACTTCAACGTTTTAAATTTGTTGAAATACACAATGAAAAGTCAGCGAAGTTTAAACTTTTGTCGATAGTGGGATTAGAACATGTGATTGAATTTAACCAGTCCATTATTTGTCATTATACACAGGCCTGTGTTCAGGATTACAGGTGTGGGGAGTGACTGATGTGTTCATTTGTAGAGATGATTGAAATGAGAAACATTCCAGATATCAATGCGGCGAGTACTTAGTGGATCTGTGGTTTGATCCACGGTGATTCACTGATTCTCTGTCTGTTTAAAACCTGCTGACGACAGCAGCAGCAGATCTGAAGGAATCTGTGTATTTCCTTCCTTCCTTCCTTCCTTCCTTCCACTCTTCCCTCCTTCCTTCCATCCATCTGGCAGCACAGGATGGATGGTTTGTGGTGGAGGGAGCGGCTGCTGGATGGATTTCAGCGTCTTGTCCATTTGCTAAAGTGGAAAGTAGATTTAATCCAGTCGGACCCATCAGCAGCTAATGATGGACAGGGAGCGTTAGCATTAGCTCCTTCTAGCCACTGGCGTTATCAGTATGATGCAGTGGCTTCATTAGCTCATTTTCTCCCTCTCTCTCTCTCTCACACACACACACACACACACACACACACACACACACACACACAGCTAAACATAGCGCTCGTGTCGTGATACAGAAAACAAGGAGGAGCACCGAGAACTTTGAGTTCATCATACCTGGTTTATCTTCAGCATAAATGTGTTATTGAAGCATTGTTTGCTGTTTTATAAAACTGTCTGCTTCCTCTCGGCCAGGCCCAGCTGCAGCGTCATCATGACTAAAGAGGAGAACCTGGAGGTGCAGGAGAAGGAGAGACACGATCGGGAGGAGCAGGAGGAGGGAAGGTTCCAGAAAGAGGAGGAGGAGGCTCTTACCGAAGAGGAGGAGGAAGAAGAGGAGGAAGATGGGGAGGAGGAATATGAGCAGGAGGGGGAGCGTGCAGAGGTGGACGATGATGAGGGCGACGAGCAGGAGGAGGAACAGGAGCAAAGAGAGGAGAGGGAGCAAGAGGAGGATCCACCGGCCAGTCAGGAGCAGGAGGCCGAGCAAGAGCCCGAGCCACTGTCGGTGTCCGAGTACCAGAGTCCAGTTCACGAGCCACGCCGCCGAGCCATGGTGCACTCCTCCGCACAGGCACCGCTGCCCACAGACTACAGTACGCCACCTCAAACACACGCTGTCATTCCACCTCACGAAGACACATGTCCTCAAACATGATCAAGAGACAAATAACAGACAGAGGGCCCTGCAGGCTCCTCCCCTTATCCCTACAAAACAAGAAGACAGTGAGACTCATCCCACACCTTTCGTTTAAAACGCAGCGCGGCTGCTACAGTTACTGACGCTCGGTAGTGAATACAGGAGGAGCAGGAGATAATCTACTTCCTGTTTACATCACATGACGCAGCCTCATTAGGATTCCACACAGCTTCAAACACACACACACACACACACACACACACACACACACACACACACGTGGTGGAGGTTAATAAATGTTAAAATGATGAACTACAGACAGTAACAGTCGGTTTGTAAAACCCTGAAAGATCTTTAAAGATCGACTGTGTGGTCGACGGCTCATTGGTATTCATCACACAAACTCAACTCCATTATACACTGTGTGTGTGTGTGTGTGTGTGTGTGTCTGTGTGTGTGTTGCATACAGAGTGTTCCAGCTCACCAGTCTGACATGAACCTTTCTCTCTTGTCCAACTGTGGCACTACGAGCTAATTTATTTAATAATATTACAGGTATATTAAATAATTTAAAGCTTTAAGCTCAGGTACAATATAATTAACAACATTTTTACAAAGTTCTTTCAACATGAGGGAGCAGCGGCTCCACTCCCTCTGAAGTCTGAGCTCTGTCTCGCCGGTTGAACCCACACTGGTGACAGATAGGACTCGTTTTGTTTGGATCACTCGGAGCTCAGAGACTGAAGGAGTCCTGAGCTGCTGACCGTGGAGCTGATTTCAGTTACAGAGAGAAATGAGATGTGACTCAGACTGCAGAGCAGACAGGAAGAGAGACTGCTGCACTCACAGGTTACTTCTGATTCGATGATGCTGACACACCTCTTTTACTCCAGTGCTTTTTTCTGTTTCTCTTTATCTCTTCATGGTTTCCTCTGACGTTCCCTTCGTTCCTCCGTCTCCAGCCTTCACCTTCTTCGACCCGAACGACCCAGCCTGTTATGAGATCCTCATGGATCCTCAGACCTCCATCCCAGAGCTGTTCGCCATCGTGCGTCAGTGGGTTCCTCAAGTTCAGCACAAGATCGACATCATCGGCAACGAGGTTGGATTTCACAAATACCTCGTCCAGTAGAGTCTTCAACTAGTTGGGATTCTTTGTGTGTTGGTATCAACTGTTCCTGCTCGGAGTGTTATATANGTATATATATATGAATCAATGTGAATAGTCATCCACAGCAGGAGATCAGTCAGAATGCAGATTTTAGTTCAGCTTATTAATTTACCACCAATATTCACATTTACACTGTACAGTTAACTGGTGAAGCAGTGGTTCTCTGTAGATTAGACATAATAATGCAGAATACACTGAAAAGGATCATCGTTAACCAACTAAAAAATACACAAATACTTTTTCAAGTTTAAATTTATATTACTATAACTCGTTAGCTTTAAGTTGAAAAAACTTAATTTGTGTTACAAGTTAAAACTATTTTCCCCCCTCACAGTGCAAAAACAAATATATTATCAACTATTTATTTACAATGCTGATATTAAAGAAATGCAACCTTCTGTCAATAACTCAAATATCCAGGTTGTGCATCCTGTTTTCAGAAGATCAGTAGAACATCTCATGTTTTATGTAGTTACATAATTACTGAGCAGCAGAAAGTGCAGCAGTTTATTTGAAATGTAAACATTTTCTGAGGTTTAATGTTTCAAACTTTTAAAAAACACATCTAAAAACATTTGATCCAAGCTCTCCTGGAGTCCCCCAAAGTTCAGCAGCAGTCAGATTTGATACTACACGTCATCAACGTTTGGATTTTCCTTCTTTTTTTTTTTCCTTGCCAGTAGTACAAGTGGTTAAGCTGCTGGTTTGCTGGAGCACATTGCGAACGTTGTGCAGAGGGGCGAGGAAGCACCTGCTTCCAACGAGGCGGTGGAGAAAATGCTCTCATGAAAACGTCCAACCGCTGTGGTTGGCACTGGCACTTGTGCGTGAGACTGGTTTGCTCTGAGATTACGCACAGATTATTTTGATAATCTTGCGGGGAGGGTAACGCTCACCTGATACTTTGCGGTTTTCCTGTTTTTTTTCCTTCTTCTCCCGGAGAGGCCGTGGTGTGACCATAAACCAGTCAGAGTAAATTATGGATCGCCTTTGTGGTGCAGTGGTTTGTTACAGTTTATGATAGATAGAGCTTCTCGGCTTTGTGTCAGCTGCTTTTGTTTTGTCTTTTTACAATGATGGTCTCTGCGTCTGTCTCGCTTTGTAATGCGCCACAAGCTGTTGCCAGCAGAGTTCCCTGCCCCTGGATAGACCGTGTGCTTCTGTCAGAGACGAGAGCGCAGCAGCTATGAGAGGACCCGCACTTGGATTTTGTGTGATCGGAAGATTTGGTGCAGCTTTCTACAGAGAGCAGTGACACACAGCGGCATCAGCAGCTGAAAAAGTTGGACTGGAAGTGGTTCCACACGTTCAAGTGAGGGAAACTGATGCGCGTAAAGAAGGGATGCCAGCCAGGCGTGGCTTGTGTTTGAACATCCAATGTGAGAATGCGTGGGGAGTATGTATATAATAAGAGCCTTTCCATCTGATGAACAGAGATATCAAACTGATGATTAAAGCAGAGGACGATCAATAAACTCAGAGGACTGATTTGGAGGAGCAGCAGCGCGCCGGGTAGCCCTTTGGCTTCGTGCGTGCATGGACCGGACTTACTTAAAACTTTTCTCCCGCTTCGTGTCGCCGAAACCTTTTAAATGCCGTCGCTTAATCTGACAGCTGTGCACACCATGGCAGAGGTCGGGAGCTTTTTGGGGACAATCGACTTGGATTTACAAAGCTTTCCTGCGCTGGGGAATATGCCCATAGCGGAGCCTCCGGTGGGGCTGAATGAGCAGCTGGGGCAGATTGAGGGGAGGCTGCAGCGGGGGTCGCCGACGGATTTTGGGCACCTCAAGGGGATCCTGAGGCGGCGGCAGCTCTACTGCAGGACCGGCTTCCAGCTGGAGATATTCCCCAACGGCACCGTGCACGGGACACGACAGGACCACAGCAGATTCGGTGAGGCCAGGGACCTTTTTATTTGGTTTAAAAGGTTTACAATGCTGAGGATCTTATCATGTGACTGTCTTGGTTCACCACCAGTAAATTATTATTATTAGTAGTAGTATTAGTGTCATTATACACAGTCACTGACAGAGATGTCTAAATGAAAAGGGTCGAGCTGAGGCCTCCAGTGATCCTGAGGGAAGCAATTATCCTTATTACAGAATTTCATTGCAGTTTTGGGTGATTTACGAGGTGCAGTATATCCTGCGCTATCAATTTAGATAATTCTCACTGCTGTCAATCTCAAACTGACTTTAATTAAGAAGCGTGTTTCCCCCTGCCGCACTTCCCCCTGTGAATACAGCTCCGTGCGTCACCGTCACCTGGAGCCGCACAAGAGGAGCGGAGCCGCGCACCTTTCCCTGGCGACCGCCGCCGCGTGCGTAAGGGGCGCAGGTGTCTCCGGCGCGTCCTCGTACTCTGAAGATTTGGTACCATTGATGCAAATGGGGCGAGGTGCGGCTCGCCGGAGAGCGATAAACACATGAGGTCAGGGGGCAGACGCGCACATGTCTCGCGCCTCGTGTCCGTGCAGTCATGTCGCAGGTGCAGGCGGAATACCTCCAGACTAAAGCATGACCACTGTGGAATTCTGGGAAGGTTTTTTTTTTAATGTTCAGACGTGCAGCCAAAACAAGCCGGTTTACAGGGATGGGTGGTCCGCGCGTGTTTGTCTCTGGCTCCACTTAAGGTCTTTGTCAGATTTGCGAGGAGCGACGTGGCTTTGATTAAAAGGAAAAAAATAAGAGACACACTCTTTCGCCCCGCAAAAAAATTAGAGGGATCGTCTGTGTCATCCTCTGGCATCGGATGAGGTCGAGGAGATGGGGACCAGGTGGCCTCTGCCAGTCGGCAACAGCCAGCTGGATCCTCTCTGACTAACCTCTGCATCAGCCCCTGGCTTTTAATTTCACCGGTTGTTTCCTGGTCTTTGAACTATACATGTTCCCTTTTGCACCAACTTCCTGTGAGTCAGCAAACAACTGTGCCCACAGCTCCGGCTCCTCTCTCTGTATTAGAGGCCAGTTGGAATTCCCAAAGCCAGGATGAACACATTTATAGACAACCACAGCCCATTATGACAGAGTGACGCGATGAATTGAGCAAGACTTGAAAAGAAAGCGAGAAACCACACATTTGTCTTTTCTGTTGTAATCGATGACAACATCAAGTTACATAGTGGCCTTAAATGTGCGATTTTTCAATGGAAGCGTTGAGTGGGAAGATGTTGGGTTCTCTTTCAGTGCAAATAATTCAGACTAAAAACGTATTGGATGGCAGTGGACAATATGCAAAAGTAGTCAGATAAACATACATGTATCTGCTACAGTCGGCTGAGGAGGAAATTATATTTGTGGGCTTCATTGATGGATTTGTGTGTGTGTTTGACCTCAGGTATCCTGGAGTTCATCAGCCTGGCAGTGAGTCTGGTCAGCATCAGAGGGGTGGATGCTGGACTCTACCTCGGCATGAATGAAAAAGGAGAGCTCTATGGGTCGGTGAGTCAACCCACCCACCAACCCCTCTTTTATTTACACCCCATGCATGCAGCCTCTCATTCACAACTAGTCCAGCCCGAGAGAACACACGTCAGTAAGTAGTGGGCTGTCAGAAAAGATGTTTCCAGGAGCAATCTGAGGGTCCGTTTGTTATCGAGGTTCCCATACGTGGTGGATGGGAAAAGCCGCAGTGAGTCAAAACAAGTTGTCGGCGTCTCTCTCACACTCTGAGTCTCATGCCTCCCTCTCCCGCTGCTTCCCTTCATCACGGAGGAACGAATCGAGACACTAGATAGAACTTCCAGACCGCAAACAACAGCATCAGTATCAAAAAAACCAAATCAGAGGTCTCCATGTGTGAAAGGATTCAAGGAGAGCAAACTGACCTCATCTAGTTTTGAGAAATGCAGAAATATTTACATATTTTCCCCAAAGTGGAGACATTTGGACGTGTGTGGAGGGTGAGTTCAGTGGAGATTACGTCTCTGTGCACAGCTGGACAGCAGTGTTAAATATAGAAGAGTTATTTTGTGTTTTTCCACAGTGATTGTAGATTCAACAGAACATCTGTCTTTCGGGGGGGGGGCGTTTTGTGTGTGTGTGTATGTGTGTGTGTGTGTGTGTGTGTTACGTTTTGGCCGACTTTCTCTCATATGTGGTCGGTGTCTGGGGACAGAAAGAGGGGAAATGGAAGAGATAAAAACAATGAAAGGGAAGTATGTGAGGGTTACCTGTATCAGGTGTCCCAGGGCATTTTACCTGAGGGCCCCTCAGAGCTTAGCCTCCCCCCCCCCGGCTCTGAATATTTCCAACAGAGGCTACTTTTTAAGCACGGCCATTATGTTCGAAAGTGCAGATATGGTTACTGCTATCAGAGTCTGGCATCCTGGAGCTTTGACCCTGCATGGGGGAGGTGATGGTGGGAGGCCATGATTTGGTGGGTCGAGGTGGGGTGGGGGAGTAATTGCACACCTGACTAAGTCACCTGACTGACAGAGGGAGCGATGTAGATATGTCTGTCTGAATCTGAGAGGCCAGGAGGTGGGACGTGAAGGGGCCAACAGGTAGAAGGCCGCTTCCAACCCACAACCACCAGACCTTGACGAGCTTTTGATCCGATGAGGTTTCTGCGTGCGCGTGCGTGTGAGTCTATTAGGATGAAGCTGGCCTAGTCATGTGCCCTCGGGGCTGTGTTTACAGACAACAGCTTCACCACACAGCCGCAGCCAAGCAGAGCCTGACAGCCAATCAACAAAATTACTGCTGTAATAAAAAGCAAGGCTCTTGCACAAACACCATTAAGTGTGATGGTGAACATTTATCTTCTTCGTAGCCAAAAATAAAAAAGTTCAATTCCTGTGTGTCCAGAGGGACAGTGGGAGGGAGAGACTGTTTTGGGACACCCTTCATATTTGTGCCTGGGTCCTCAGTGATACCCTAGACTCCTTTGAGTTTCGGGCCGTCTTGCAGAGCAGCAGAGACTGACCGGTCCTGGCAGGAAAGCAGCTCTTATTGTTCTCTCACAGTCACTCAGCCAGCACACTCTCACCTGTTGAACCCGCAGCCATCGCTCATGCTGCGCCATCAGTGAAGGCTGAGTGTGTGTGTGTGTGTGTGTGTGTGTGTGTGTGTGTGTGAGGAGCCTGTACTCCCGCTCACTGTTCTCATTGTAGCACATGCAGGGAGGGAAATAATTCTCCATGCACAATGAGAGGTGAACGGGTCTGAGGAGTGAGTGTGGGGCGTGAAGTGAAAAGCTGCCTGTAATGACTTCCCCTCGTTTGTCATAATGAGCTCCTGTCTAAATGAGCTTCTGCTGCTTCATTTCAGCTTTAAGTGCAGACCAACAGAGTTCACGGGTCCGTCAGAGACAGTGAGACCTGCATGCACAGCAGCATCGTCCATCTTAATCTCCGCTTGCCTTCTCTCTTTAAACTCTGTTGTTGCAAATGTTCTTTTTCCTCGCTCAGTGCCATGCAGAGCAGGACCTCAGCTCATGACTAATGTGTTGTTTTCTCTCCTGCAGAAGAAACTGACAGCAGAATGTGTGTTCAGGGAGCAGTTTGAGGAGAACTGGTACAACACCTACGCTTCAACTCTGTACAAGCACACGGACACGGGGCGCTTCTACTACGTGGCCTTGAACAAGGACGGCTCGCCCAGGGAGGGCGGCAGGACTAAGAAACACCAGAAACTCACTCACTTCTTACCCAGGCCGGTGGAGATCGAAAAGATCCCGCAAGCTTACAGGGACTTGTTCCAGTACAGGTGACCAGAGCTGGTTCCACCAGGAGCAACAGAAGCAAACGAAGAGGAGAGAGGGGGTGCTGCAGATATTTTGGACCTGGTACAGAACTGTACACCCTCCACTCGTGCTGAGGTCACTGGGTTTACACCACAGCCCACTACCAAGCACATACTGCACTGACATAAACTTTGTGCACGCTCCTGGATGTTGCTTCTTTGGTTCTGTAGTGGACTTGTGACACCGGTAAGGACAGAAAGTTGTCTAGTTAAACCACTAAGGACACAGGGACGAATGTGGCCCACATGACTGCCCAGCTGTGGGGCAATCAGGTGCCACGTTTTCTAAATAACCACTTTTTTTTTTAGAGGTAAATGCATAGATACTGCAGTGAAGAGCCCTAAACTGGTGGGGGAGAACAAAAAAATGAAAGTTGAGTATGAGAATGCAGGAAAGATACTTTAAAAAAGCTGCAGAAAGGAAACAGAAAGCACTGCAGATGAAACATGGTGCATTTGTCACGCTTTATACACAGTCATGGTAAATGTAAGCAAGGGCACATTCCACAAACGCAGAGATGGATGGATAGAAGGAGCGTGGCAGGTTTGGATAGTCGGGTACTAAAGAGAACGGGAACAACTGAGCTTTTATTGAGTTGTCCTCAAAAATCAAAGATGAAAGCGGGGACGTAAAATCTCTGATGAATGTGACAGATGAAAAGAGCACTTACTGCACATCCCCAGTTCCCAGCTGCAGGCTCGCTCGGTCTCCCATGCAATCATCAGTCTAACGATCGCATTCATCACGTTTAGATAAAGCATGGAGCGGCGTCTTGTAGGAGTTGTGTGCAGAACAAACGATGAAGCTCGGGACAAAAGCACTTCTCTGACTGTGGTTGAAAAGAATGACAGATGAGGGGGGTGGGGGGTTCTGTGACTTGTAATGTTCGGAGTGTCAGGAACATTATTAAAAATGCAAGCAGCTGAGGTGTACATATGGGTGATCCTATTTATGAGATGTACAATATATTTATTTTCTACCTATAAAGTATAAATATAAATCTATATATTTATTTATTGCAAAGACTTTATTTTGTAATGAACTTGAAGTTATCTGGACGGTTAGATTCTACTGAAATTACTTCAAAATAAAAAAAGCAACAAAAAAAAATGAAGAACTGCATTGAACATGACAATAAAATTGTCCTGCTATCGAGAACTCATTGTGACAGACTATTTTTGCTTGGATTAAAATCTGATGTACCAATTAAAACCAGATATAGATATCAATGTGAATGTTGCATTTCTTTCCATGTGTTTCCTGCCATGTTAGCGGTTCAGCTCTGTGAACATATCGACATATTGGTGACTCGCTCCACCATCGCTTCACTCCTGATTGAAACATCAGTTGAATAGATTGCTATAGAATTTTGGATATGCATTCAAGGTCCCCAGAGGATGGATCCTGTTGATTTTGGTGCTCCCCTGACTCTTGCACCAACATGTCTGTGTTTTTTTCACCTGATAATTAATTCACTTAAAAGTACTTTTCCCTCAAAGATAACTCTATTGAAAGCTTATAATTATACAGCTTGCTCATATAAGTATTTAATGTAATGTGACCACGTGTGAAAAGTTGCAACCCCTGTACAATCCAAAGCCAATTTGCCCTCACAAACCCTTTACCCAGTAATGTACAGAGGCCTCCCCAGGCTCCATGAGGTCTTGATCAGCCCACATCTACCGTACAAAATCAGATTCCCTGTGCAACTGGATCCCGACTCCTCCGCTCCTAATTGGCTTTACACATCAGCCTGGGTTTAGGGCAGCGATTGGTTGTTCACGGTGGGGGCCTCACAGACCCCGTCACGGCGCAGTCCGCACCGGGTCCGTCTCAATGGACAGAAACAGCTGCCTGCTCCACAGAGAACCGGCGGGGACGTGCTGCCGCAAACGTGGAGTGGTGGTAATCTGGGGCTAAGAGGGGATGGGATCAACATTTCAACATCTGCAATAGTTGTAATGTTTCTCCACTGGCAGATATCTGTAAGCTGTGAGAGCAAGCTCCCCTGGGGGGAGGGAATGGAAAAGTCAAAGACATGCAGGGGAAAACCCTGGCAGACTGAGAAATGAAAACAATACCGGGAGAGGGAAAATAGATGAAAGATTGAAGGGAGAAGAGAGAGGGACAGAGGGTGTGAAACACTGGGACATCAGGATGGATCCGTCAGCCGTTAAGGGGTAGTTCTAAAATTTGGAATTTATTTGTGTTTGTGCCAAAATAAGAAGAAACATACTGTTCTCATGTGTGTGTGTGTGTSTGTGTGTGTGATAGATTTGAGGCTGGAGACAGATAGCTTAGCTTAGCATGGACAGAGAGAGCAGAGGAGAGTCGTCTGGCTCCAAACAATGGCAACATAAATCTGCCAACCAGCTCATCAGTCAACACGTTTTAACTTGTTTAACCTTGAACATGAACCCAACAGTGGAAATATCAAATTGTACTTTTACATGGGGACATGTAGTTCAACAGGAACAATGACGCTGAGGAAGCAGGAAGATTTTGTGACAGAGCCACGTGAGCTGTTTCCATCCATTTCTAATCATAATAGCAAAAACTCTGCTACCTGCCTGCTGTAGCTTCATATTTAGAATACAAATATGAGTGACTTAAAACATTTTATACACCATTTAACAAGAATATGTTTAAAATGTCAAAGTAGACTTTTAATTTTAAAAACAACATATATTCCTATTTATTGATTGGATGTTTAAAACCTGACACATGATACTGTATATATAGTAAAATATACAGTATAAGATATCTGGGGATCTTTGTTACATGTTGTTCTTTTTCTCTGTCCACTGTCTAATAAAAGCAAAAAACAAGCCCCAAATACTATCGGCCAATATTTTACCATCAGATTTTGAATATCCGTAAATATCTCTGTCATTATAAAGCTCAACAATTCACCATCAGTTGTTCTTCAGATACGTAATGATACAGGTGTGTAATAAAAAGTTTGTGGAAGACCTTCAATAATAAAAATAACCAATAACCAAATGCCAACATTCCCCACTTTAAATGCTCAGTGCACAGGAATGCAGAGCACTTAAAAACAAATAACTCAAACACAGGAGTTGCTCATCCTTTTGGTCACTTTATTAAATGTTATATTAAATACTTATCAAGATAATAGCAGATCAGATTCATGGCAAATCAACTTGGTGTATCTTCCAACATAAGAACATTCTTAGAGGAGGGCAAAAAAGTTTCTCGACACTTATGAAATACACCTTGTGCAAACGCAGGATCCGACAAGAAAAACGGGTTTTCTTCGTATTCCTCATGTTTAACAGCTACACCAGTTTAAGCATTTAGAAGCAAGAATGTGCCAAAGTAGAGTACAGGTAGTCTTGGTGTCTGCCTGCTGAGACTGCAGTATCCAGGAGGATGGATTCTCACAAAGCAGACAACACTCATCAGCCAGATATAAGAAGATTTCCAGTCTGTACTTCTTCCTGTCAAGTCTAACCTGATAAATCACATTTCAAACTGTGACAGACGAGTAACGGGAAACGTTTTGGGCCCTGTGATACGTGGCTGAAGTGGTTACGCTTTGCGAGACCCCATCAGTCACCCGAGCTCGGGATCAACACAAGTGGAACATAAACGATGGACAGGACACACAGTGCTATGCTAGACAACACATGACGATGGGAGTGATGTTACGAAAAGGTCTTAGGAACCAGCAGGCAGTTTTGAACAACAGAAGCATTCCATTACCATGTTCAGTGACAACTAACATAAACACTTAAAAGCATAATAGAAAAAGGTTCTCAACAAATCTCAAAACTTTACAGAGCTTTTTTAGGAAACAAATATATAATAAGGCCAAAATTTTTATGCTTTTTTTTTCTGTTTTTGTCAACTCATCAGTTTCTTCTATTTCCGAAGAAGAGCAGGACTTTGCAGCACCAACAACTGTGGGTGATATTGGTGGAGGAATCTACTGGTGCTAATAATCATGTAACCCTAACCCTTTACATTTATGGAGTCCTGTCACCAACGACACTGGTCCCACTCAGTTAAGTTAGGCTTTTAAAACAGTATAAAAAAACTGAGTTTAAATTATAAGGAAACCCTCTTAAGGGGGAAACAGAACAATGCTTAAAAGCATTGGGGGTAAAAGTTGTTTGTCTTTAAATACATGAAAAATGAAGATATAGAACTTGAATAACATTAAGGCGGTATATACATTTTTTTTCCTGTTGAACATCCTAACAGATCTTTCACACAGTCAGTCATTTATACATTATATCCCACCTCCTCTCAGTGAACTACAGAATAAAGGACTGAGAGTCTATCCCATTTGAGACCCCAGCGGACAGCGGCCTAGTCTCAAAACTACTCCACCCTCTGCTTGGTGCTCCGGTTTGCTTTGAGCGCTGAGGCGTCTCACAATGTGTTAGTTACAGGGCCACACTTGGACTGGGCCTCTGGGAGCTGGCTAGCTGTGTGGGTGGGGGGGGTGGGGTGTGGGGGCTGAGGAAGAGTCCCTCTGACCTACAGGCCCTTGGAGGGCCCAGGATTCTTGCCCATGCCTTGATGGGAGCCCAGGCCGTGGAGCTGCTGGTAGAGCCCCAGCAGGTCCATCTGACTGAGCCCACTGCCTCCCATCATGCCGTTCTGCAGGGCCAGCTGGTTCAGGTAGCTTGCCTGGTTAGCCATGGCCAGCTGTTGCTCCTGCACCTTCCTGTTGGTGATGAGCTTCTGCACGAACATCATCAGCTGGACAGAAAAACAAAATATAGAGACAATTTAATTAACTACAAATAACTACGAATGACTATTGTAGTGAAATAACCACCAGCTGCAGACCTCACATGACCTGAGCACATGTAAAGACAATGGAAAATAAAAAACAAACCAGAAGAAACTGGCCAAATATGACAAAAAATAACAGAATGATTCATTTATTATTCACCTAAATATGAGCTCAAAAACATGAGAATATACAAAATATGTGTTGGAAAAAACCCACCAAGGTCATCAAGTTAAGGCAGGAAATTCCAGAAGGTTTAAAAATCCAGTTACTATAAAACCTGAATTTACAAACAGCTGGTGATCAAGCAGATTTCTCCTCAGTTCCTCAACAAAGGCTGGAGTCACGCTAAGGCACAGTTTGTTTTTCTCAGGACAGAACTTTGAGTGATGGAGAACATTTTTTCAGTTTTAGTCAGACTTCACAACAACAACAACTCTACAGCTGACGTCTGATGTTGATTATAACTGTGTCTCACAGATGTAGTCAAGGTTAACTAAGAGCTTGTGAGGGGTCAGGGACAGAAAACTCAGATGGTACTACCACTGCAGAGTGATTTACTGACACAGGCCTGGAGGATACATAACAGCTTTAAACTCACAGATTTAGGTTTTGATCATAAGAATTGAATTGTGTTCTTTTTGTGATCTTTATACATTTAGATCACAACTTCTTCAGCTTATTGGATTGCTCTTAGAGAGTGAATGAATAAAAACTGCAAACCTGCTTGGTAATAATATTCACATTAATAATAATCTATTTAAACTCAGGGTACATGCTGTATTTCCTTTAAGCACCATTAACAATACATTGCTATTGAAAAGTAGAGCAATAACCATTTGTGTCAGTATGGTCCAGTTCCATTTATTACAGTTGTAGATATGTTTTCGTCTGTGTTTGGATTACTGCTGAACAGATTTTGGATTCCCCCCCCCACCATTTTATTTAACATTGTGAGATAGGGTGTTAACCATTATAGGCATGTTTAGGGGACCTATATTTATAAGTGTGTGCAATTTGATACAAATCAAAATTAAAATCCAGATCTAGTGAATTTAGAAACATAAGGGGACTGTTGGGCCTTGGCGGAGGCATGGGCTCTTTAAGTGCCCCGCTAGTTTCTAGTAAAATAGTGACATTGTCTTCTAGTTTTCAACTATCAGAGCCGGTTCTTACCGTCTGCTGCCTGGTGAGAACATCCCTGTAAATGGCTTCCCTGCGCTTGATCTCCAGCTCGACAGTGGCCTGGCGTCCCAGGGCCATGGACTGGACCTGACTCTCTGTTAGCGCTGGGTTCTCCTTCCACTGTGGGGAGAGAAGACAGTTCACATACATTAACTCCAACCACCATCACAGTCATAATACAGTTCAGTGACAGAGAGAGGACTTATTAAGACTCTTGCACTAAGAATAATTATCAACAAAGACAGATTTAGACACTTTGCTGCACCAGTGTTGACACTCACCAGTCTAGCAATGGTGTCCTCCACTGACTCCCGTGAAAAGGTCTTCAATGCATTTGTTGCTTCGATGACTTTCTGTCGTCCCTGGTTGATCAGGTCCTGAAGACAAATGAAAGAGAAAAACATGACCCTGGTGAGCTTTTCTCATTTTGATTATAAAAAATAGACAAATGTGAGGATTTGGTATTTACTACATGATGGAAGATCTTAAAACCCGTCATTGACACTTTTGAGATTAACACTGAATCAAATGAGTAACTCGAACGGCATCATTCATAGGGACACCGAATCGTGCAGCTCTTCACTGAGCAGCCACAACTTTACAACAGGTGATTGGTTTCAGTGCTGTAAGTCATGAAGATCAACTGTAACTACAAAAAATACATTTTTAATCTCACTACTACCAGCATCCCTATACGTAGGAACCACATACAGGCTGTAATTGATAAACTCTGTGCTGACTAATTAGCAAAGAAGTTACCAGGAGTTGGAGAACATGCAGCTAAAAGGGGTGTTAAGATTAATACTCCAAATAAATACTAATCATATCACAATCTGTGGTTGAACATGGCTCATAACGGCCACACTCGGCCGTGCGAGGCAAAGATGTCATCAGATTTATACTTAGGTTAATTCTGTCTAATCAAATATGAGCAGATTGATGATCAGACTGGGGAAATGGTGTTTACAGAGATACTTGTCTGGTCTTATTTCAGTAGTCTAGTGTTACCTTTGGCAACCCTAAAATACATATTCTCTAAAGGGAGACAGCAGATTGCAGCGCACCCACAGAGACTGTGTAAAGGACATTAGTGTTAGAGATGCTAGTGTGTCGCACTTCATTTATTGGAATATTGGTAATTACAAATTATCCAGTCATTTGCCAACATTAGCCTTCGGCCCGCACCCTCTTGCACTGCCTCGTCTCCAAAAGCTTCATGTGTATATGAGCTGCAGCAAACGGCTGGAACTGATGTGGCTCAGGACCATCATGGTCCTCCCCCACAGAAATACCCTCTTCAGGGGACTCAGGAGGAGAAACGTCCTCTACTTTTAAAGAGCCCTCTGTGTCATAGCCGCCTTGCGATTCTGTGTCATGTTCATTTTTTTATGGCCTGAAAATGTCAAGACAATTACGCTGTCACTGTCACTCTCTCCTCAGTCCTCTGCCCAGATCTTAGCATTTTTCAAAATGATCAGTGGATGAAGTAAGGGCCAGAGCAAGGTGAAGTTACACTTAAAGCTCAAAATGAATCAGTGAGTTTATGAGTGGGTCTGTTCAGCACTCATAATTTTTACACTCATTAGTTATTGAATAACACAAATTGCCTCTTGGACTTTGTGTCCTCTGTCAGTCAGATGAACCACGATGTATAAATAGCTGCTGCCCCAGACATGCAGCATTACAAACTGTTGGGTAGAAGAGTGGGGCAGACTGGGCTTGTTGGCTAGTAGACTGTTGTCACAATTAGCAGTGGGGTCTGAGGAATGTGGGGCGCCGTGCCGTGGGGGAGGGAGAGGGGGGCATGTGGAGCTCATTACTTACCTCCAGCTGCTGGTTGGTCATGGAGGCCAAAGCCGCCACGTTGTAGTTGAAGTAGCTGGAAGAGCCCATGTCCATGTGCGAGTATTGTGACTGGTAGTTGGTCCTCATGGAGAGACCCTGACAGATGAAAGACAGAGACAGAGGGGGGTGAGAGGAGGCAGAGGCCCCCCAGCATCCAATAGAAATAGATGATTAGTATATATCAGTTAGGCAGGTGTCACCAAGTGCATGATGGGAGAGACTGTATCAGTGTGGTCGACCAGAGACGACAGATCACTTGTCAGCCTCAGTCAGTAACTCTTGGCACGTTCAACTTGTTTAACTCTGCAGGAGAAACACGTTGTTTGATATCAGCCTGCTCCTCTTGTATGAAATGTGTGAGTGAGTGTGTGTGTGTGGGAGAGAGAGAGAGCGATAGAGAGATAGAGAGCAGTGACCTGATGTAAACAGTCCTGTCCCAGTAAAGGCCAGCAGGATGCCAATGTTTGTGTGTAATTTAGCCTCTGCTGCAGATGGTTGTCCCGTGCCCTGTAATCTGGCCATCCGGTATGTAGGGGTGTGTGTGCATGAGTGTGTGTGTGCATGTGAGTGTGTGTTGGGGCCAGTGAGGGTTGTTGGACCTGGTCAGACACAGGTGTGCCGGCCTAAACACTACAAAACAACCACAAAACCACAACACACATGATCGACTACACCACACACTTCACATTTGGGTTTGCCATTAACAAGCAGCCGCTCTTGGACTTCAGCTGCATCCTAAGATACTCTTTAGACCTCAAACATCTTCAGACAGACAGACACAAAATCATGACTGAAAGAATAAAAACTAAGTATCAGAAATAACATCATGAGTCTCTTTGAGCTCTGTGCTGAGCTGGAGTCACCCCAGTGAGGCAGAGGGCTCCTGGGTTCAGTTCAGTTTTGGGCACCTGATCATATTCTCACAGTTTTTTTGAGTTGCAAGTCTGATATTCATACACGTAATGTTTCCTGGCCACAGGCGGCCGTACCCTTAAGTTGTGAAGACATTAGCAGAGGCCAGGTTATGTTCCAGTCGTTTCTCTGACAAAGATCTGAGTATACAGCGTGGCAGCTTCTCACGGATAAAAGTGACCACTTCTCCATCTTTTAGTGTATGACAGACTGCAGTGATGCGAACGCAATTGAAATCCCCACATTCGACCTCAGCGCTGTGGTTTTCCCTGTGAATGGGAACCCTCTGTTCTCTTATAAAGCAGAGGAGCTTGGAGGGAAAAGCCGCTTAAAGCACACAGAGGGCAGAGGAGGGAGTGTGTTGGAAAAATAATCATTAGAGTGAATTAGAATCTAGGATTACACCGGGGGGAGAAGTACTGCTCCTGCTCGTTTACAGCATCAAGCCCCCCCCCCCCGTACATCTCCAAATAAACTCCACTAATTGGTCATTGATTTGCACGATAAGAAAGGAAAGGGAGGACGAGGGGACAATGCAGAAGAGGAAAGTCCCTAAACATCTATTGACCTATGTACGTAGCACTAGACGCAACTTGGACAGCCACAGTTATTTGTACAGCAGATCACTAAACTGATGGTGGGCCAAAACGACCATCACTGGAGTAGGAGGGAGGCCCTGTCATCGCTTCACTAGATGAAAGGAATATACTGATCCAACACAAACGGGACTTCGCCCACCTTGCACTTTGATGTCAATAACTTGGAGAATGATCGACAGAGGGTATAAACACTGTACGTGTGCCTGAGATGTTGGAAGTGGTGGATATGTCACTGTGCAGCACGCATGTCTCTTGTGCGGTGTTTTTCTTTTCTTACCTTCTTCTCTGCCTCATATTCAGCCCAAGCAGCCTTGCGGTCCTCCTCGCTCAGGGCTTCCTCCTCCTTGTGGTCCAGCAGGGAGTCGTGCTCATGGTAACACACAATCTGGTCCTTGTTGTTCTGCAGCATCTCAGCCAGAATGGGATCCTGCGTTGGGGGAGATAGCAAAAAGATAAAAAGTGTCACAGTGAGTGTAAAGTCATCACTGGAGGGGAGGTAGATTTGGCTCCAGGGAGGCTTAAGAAGACAACACCAACTTTCTGCCTGAAAAAAAACCCCCAAAATATAAATCCACTTATAATCAGCTCGAATCCTGTTTTGGGGATATACAGATCGGAATCAAATTGCTTTTGAAAAAAAGACTTAACGCACATTGCAAAGCAACACATATGAACAGAGGAAGATGTTTGCTGGATTAAAACAATGTTTCTTAATAAAACGCTTTGAGCTGCAGAGCACAGAACTTATCAATTTTTAGTTTGATCTTTTGTTCTGCTGAAAGTTTTTTTTAGGGAATCACCTGAATGCTCAGATAGCCATAAACTTCTTACGGGGAAAAACATTGTAGTTAAATAAAGGTGGTTTTGAACTCCAGCTGAAATCCAATGTTTAGATGCATGTCTTATTAAGAATTTTAACTGTCTTTAAAATAAAAGTTTGGAGCCTTCATTCAATGGTCACATGTGGATTGTTGGCAGAAGGTGAGGTAAAACAAATGGAATCCAACCCAACACTTGGACTAAGAAATGAAAAAAAACTTGGATCTGCCAATAAATTGATTAAAAGGACACATACAACACTAAAAAAAGTAAATAAATAAATACATGGTGGGGGGGTGCCTCTGGTTTCCATGACTACATTGTTAATGAAAACAATACCTGAGTAAAATTAAGAGAGCTGGGCCAGGCTCCACTCACACAAACATGGTTTGAATTACTCTCTCCGCAGCACGTTTGCTTTTCTTTGTCTCAACTCAGCTTTACATTAAACTGGAGCATTGCATTCTGGAAACAAACGTCATACAGAAGTTGCATCATTAACCTACACATGGATCAAGAGGTTCTCTGCACTTCTCCTCTCCTTCTCATTTTAAAAGGGTGACAATAAGCTTGAAGTCGTAAACAAAATAAATCATGTCACTGTTATTAAGGAAGAAAAAAAAATACAAAACAGAAACAACACACTGTGAAATTAAGCAGTGATTGCAAACCTGTATTGAATAAACTGAAAATAAACACCAGGCCAGACGGAGTGAAACTGGATCCCTGAATGGGGGAAAAGAGAGCTGCAAGAAAACTACACAAGAACCTATTTTTAGGTTCTCCACAACTCCAGAGAACGACAGTTCAGGTGGCTGACAGAGATAGGTGCCAAAGAGCTTCTCGTCTGTGCATCTATCAACCCATCAACCCGTCCAAAATCCTGGATCTGATTCTGCTCCTTATTGACACATGTTTATGTTTCCTAGCCATCACACTCAATCAGGACAAAACCAGGCCACCCCTGAACAGGCAGACATTTCAGAGCAGAGGCACAGCCAGCTATTCAGCCGCTGCTTTGCTCTCTAATTAGGACATAAAAGCACAGGCGAGCCTGTTGGCCTGACTCGGATAAAAGACATCCATCATTGTTTGTTCTACCAAAGTAGGTGAGCACAAGGTCAAATGAAGGCCAGAGTAGAGGCCAGCACAGACAATTATATTGGCACTGGTATAGACACAACATGCATAGTATGACAAAGTCTAAATATGACTCAGAGGTAACAACGCAGACATAAACTTCAACCTCTCTGATTTGTGACTGGTTTGGAGTCGTTTTGGACGGAGGGGGATTGTGGCAGGTACATCCAACTATGACGCTGAAACTAAATCGTAAGCATCACACATTTTTTCCACACTTTTTCCAGAAAAGACAACCCCTAAAATACTTTTCACAGCTTTGTGTTGATTGAGCCTGGATTATTTTTAAGTCAATGACAACTACAGCCAACAGACTCGAGCCAAGTCAGAGAGGCAGCTTTTTGCCTGTATGCTGCTATAAACAGAAACTAACACTGGGGACGATGTCCCTGTCGCTCCACTCAGCTCAAAAACTCCCAGCTTTGCTAAAGAAAGACCACATTTTAATTTTTTTTGTATTATAAGAGTGAGAGATGATCGATTTATGTTGACGGGTCAGTGAACCTGCAGGTCAAATGACAGTACAGACACTCCCACTGGAAGCAACTGTATTCTGGGATACCCTAAAAATCCCTACCAGTAATGGCTCTGGGGTGGTCCAGCCCATCTCCCGTCCTGTTGCGCTCGGTGTGTGTGTGTGTGTCTCGAGCCAGCACTAATGATTGGAGGTAATCTGACCTGGGCTATTGTCATCCTTATGGAGCTGCATGATGAAGCCTATTGCTTTGCTGCAGTGGAAAAGAGAAAGCGAGGAATGCTGGGTGGGCAGATGCTCAGAGGTTGGAAGAGGTAAATTGACCAGCTCAACTCGATTTGTATTTCCCCTCTGAGAATGTGCAGGGTGGGTATTTCTTACAGTGAAAAATCTACAGAACAATTTCACCATTTGACATTACAGAGTATGTATGTTTGGATGTAATGTATGAATGTATGGGTGTAATGATGGAGGGGGAATGCAATGTTTGAGGACAAGCTCAAGATTTGTATAATTATATCAACAGATTCAGTCTCAGTCTGGTAATCATTTGCCTAAAAAGTGCCTTGACCTGACTAGGATAAAGAAAAATCGGAAATTTTAGGGTAAGAATTGTTGTATAGTCAAACATCCATGACATGACCCACGATATGAAGCACTTTCCTTTCTTTACATGTAGAGAACTATTCATGGCCTTATTAAGCCAAATCCTTGTACATACAGTAAATGTATTTTAGAAATGTCCAACCTGCCAGGAGTCCATAAATGATGTAAAGCACTTTTCAAACTCAGCAGCTCTCACATCAAGGATGAAAACTTGGGGAGACTTTACTACTTGGCACAGGCGCCCACCACTTACTTTACCAGTAGACTTTAGGTGACGCTTAACTGTAAAGGGTCTGATGCAATTAAACACCCGCCTGCATTAATAGCGGCGGGTTGTGTGCAGGCAGGATTTTGGCCATGTTATCAGATACCTTCTTGAGCTGAGAACATTCTCAACCATGTTAACCCAATTTCCTGCACCTTAGCGGCCCTTCACTGTGTTAAGAACACTTAAACTAGGCCTCTATAGTTGCTGGTTTATTTCTGTCACTGCCACGACATTAACCTTCTCCAGAGAAAAAGACTAAACAAGAGGCATTAAATGTGCAGTAGGAGATCCAATGTAGTTAAGTTAGGAAGATATGCTGGGGAAAAACATGTTTGCTTCAAAGGCAACACGAAAAGTGAGAGGTACAGAAGGACACGTTTTTTGAAAGAATTTGAAGTGGCTGTGTCTGCTAGAAAATGCTGTTATCACACAGGTATGTTAACATAGCAACAGAGGGGGCCAAGACAGGAGAAATGAGAGTGGCTAAGATATTTGTAATATCTCAACATAGCCTGTCAAAACTCTCTGTCCCCGAGCGGCAGACAAATGCTACACACAAGCCCATTGGCCCACTCAAAACAGTTCCTCTGCAGAAACTGGGGCATACTGCTAGATATCAGGAAGCCACCCCTACACCCTCAGGACATCGCTGTCTTTATACCCCCTGGGGGCCTGTACACAAGTCACAGGTTTGATCTAGATGTCAGCTAGTTGACAAAAAACAAAATTGTGCATGTCACAAAACAAAGACTATAAAAATTCCACATTCCAATAAAAACAGGCCTCAGCTAGCAGCAGTAGGGGGCTGTATTTCTAATGAAACTCACTATAAGGTCCAGGCAGCTGGACCTGGACAGGCTGGTCAGGATAGATTCCAAGGAGACAGTGAAAGCGGGGAAAAAAGTAAAAAAAAAAAGGTTTCCTAATTCAATCTGAGGTAAAAATCAGGCCATGTATTAAAACGGCTGTTCCCCACAGGGTGATAATCCTGACATCAGAGGAAATATTTATTTAAATACATTTAGGTACAAATTTTATTTTCTACTATAGCTAAGTTAAATAAACTATGAAGGGGCCATTAGGCAAAATAATATATATAGTAGATTGAATAATTTAAACAAAACCATTGAATAAATAAAGCAATTACAATTCAAAACAAATGAATCAGCATCTTAAAGATAATGAAGTAAGCTTTGAATTGCTCTGCATGTTATTCCAAGGTGCAGGTGCACAGTGAGAATTGAAGTGACGACAATCGACACCTGCAACATAATCATTTGAGTTGGTCTTTTAAGAACCAATACTCAAAGACAGCAACAAAGAAACGAGGAAAAAAAATCAAAAATCGAAATGGTTTCAAAAAAGTGTTGCAGCAGTAACAGCGCTCTGGTTTGAGTTGATAATTTACAAATGGTCATGTTTTACCTAGAGCATGATAAATTCAAAATAGGCCTTTAATTGTTGGCTGTTCCACCACTGTTATGTAGGGGAGTTGAATAAGCAGCATTCCATTACTTAGCAACTGTTCCAGTTAAAAATATGTTATGTAGCTGACTACAATCAGAATAGCATGCTTCAAGAAGCACCAACTTAAATATATATAGATCTGTAGCTTGCAGTGCATTGGCCAAGTCACTAGAAGAAAGAAATGGAGGCAGTCCTATATCTTTTCATCCATATAGTACCCAGCAGATGCAAAATGCACTTAAACTTCACATTTCCAAACTGCCTCTGTTCTCTCTCTAGAACACTCAGTAGTTCTGATGGAAAGTGACAGAAATAGTGGAAGTGCTCATTTTTTAACTTGTGAAGTGGGTGTGAGAGCGGTTCTAGCTGTTTTTTTCTGTCTGAAAACAACTGAACCCAAGAAAAAGCAAACCTTGCCCGATCTAAACTGGACAGGGATTCGGTTTTTTGGGACTAAACACGACCCAAACCCAATGAAGTTCATGCACTGAGTTTGTGTTACCATTTCCCTGATTACAGACATGTGAAAAATCAGCCCAGCCAATGCGATTGGCCTGAACCCAAATGTCATTGTAGATTTTTTGTCTTAACCTGGCTTGGGTCAAATATCCACACTCTAGTGTGATTGTCAGATCGTGGGGTGTGTAAATTGACTGACATATCACATCACACATCATATTCAGACAGATAACAGGCCCCTCCACAAATCAGAAAGGTGGGGAAGAAATAGGATGTAGCCACTGTTCTTATCTGACTAACGGTTCTCAATGTAATTTAACATAGTGTATAAAAGGTTTAGTGTGTAGAATTTGCATGTTGCAGCTGAACACCCCTCACCTCACCCTCCCCTTCCAAACATGAAAAAGAAACTGTGGTAGCCTCATAAAAATTCAAAAGGTGTTTGTCCAGTCTGGACTAATGTAAAAAACATGGCGGCCTCCGTAGAGAGGACCCCCTCAATGTAAATATAAAGTATTTAAATATAAAGGACCTTTTCTGGGGTAAAGAAAACTACAATTCATACAATTTAGATGAACCGAACTAGTGAAAACATCATGAGGATTATTCTACATTAAATTTCTGCCAATAGTTCTCTTTCACCTAAATCTTACACACTGGTCCTTTAATGCTTTGAATATTTTTAGAGTAAAATTTAGGTCATTACACCGGACTGTTGTGCATCAAATACTGTATCACCGTTTCATACACAGGTGTCTGCATTTTGTTATCGGGTGGGATATGTCGACTTTTCCTGCACAGTGACACAACAGAGACTAACATAACAGTATTTTTTCTACTATCATCTTATTCCACACAGAGATGAATCATATAAAGGACAGTCTCTTATATCTCCACACTCAGTACTCCCAACAGACTGAGTGCTGCAAATGAGGCCCATGGCTCGGTGCCTCGCTGTGACTGTCATTAGTGCTCCTTCCACATGCAATGCAACAAGCTCAGGCAGGTTTCTGAAAGCTGGCAAAGAGCATTCTGGGAAGTGTGAGAAACCTTTTACCCAAGTACAATGACTGGGGTAGGTTGAGGGTGGGTTCACCACAACACGTGTATCAGGATATAAGTCCTGGAATTCACAGATCATCAGTGACTGAATGCTGAAAGAGGATTTAAGGGGGGAATTCTCCTTCAAAGTAAAAAGTGACTTCCTACCCCTAATGAGACAAACATGGTGTGGCTTATTGCCCGGGTCTGCTCCTGCTCTTGAGGTTCAAGTGCAACCTTGGTGTACCTGACAGAGTCTAATGAACACTGCAGCCATCACCTGCTGTGGGCACACACAGTGAGATACGCCCACAGCCTGCCACCTTGACTGACAGTGTACAACGCAGCAACATTTGCAGGGAGCACTGCAGAGCTGTATAAAAAAATGTCCCCAGGTTAACATGCACATTGTCCTTTGTACATATGTCAACATTGTGCATACAAGTGATGAACAGGAAATGAGTAAAAGAGGGTGTGGAGTCAAAATCTCATGTGTGGGTTGCATGGTTCTTCTTTGTCATTAGGGGGAAGTGAGCCTTTGTCTCCAATTAGTTTCTCTGAAGAGTGCAGAGACATCTTTAAGAGAGGGGTTTAAATAATGACCCTTCATCATGCACGGGAGGCCAGGGGGAGAAAAAGAAAAACAACTTTACTGAGCATGCTTTGAACATTAAGAGGCAGTGTGTTGAGTCAGGGCAACAGATGGTTGTGAAGATGGCTGAGAGAAGCCTGGATGGGGTAATGCTGGACTGGGGAAGAGAGTGGGGACATCCGCACAGACAAGTTGCAGGGGAGAGGAAATAAAATACGACAGCGGTGGGATATAAGAAGCTTAGCAGGAGAGGAGGCAGGTGGAGTGATAGAGAAAACAGTTATCTGGTGAGTTCTCCCTCAACATGAGCAGAAGGATGAGACAAAAATACTCAGCTTTTTGAGCACAAATATCCACCACCACCCCAGTGGCCCGTGTGACCGCGAGTTTCACACCAATATGCCCTCTGTGGCTGAGAAAACAGCACTTGACCGGTGTGAAGATCGAATCACTCTCTCCTTCTGTGCAGAGCACTGTTGGCTCAAAGGGATGGAGGGCATCTGACTCATCTTCACATCATTCCAGACGGCAAATTCCTTCCGTAATACTGCAGTCCTGCTGCCACATCATAGTCAACCCCCTGGCCAAAACAGGTCGGCTTGTTAAAGAGCTTGTCAGCCTCTCCAGCTTGAAGACTGTGTCACATAAATGTCATTGGACTCATTAAAGATCATACGCAGCTAACAGGCCGGGACTCAGTGAACACATCTTTCCTCTTCAAATCTATAACGGTGCTCAGCTGCAATCTAAGTAGGGCTACTCCTTCTTTAAGAGGGATATAGAAGGTGAGAGCTATGATCGAATGAGTGCATTCACACGGTGCTCCTACCTGTTAATACTCATGAAGGGAACAGTGATAAAGATCTTTTGACAGTGTAAATGAAAAAACAGATGTTCCATTAAGGTGCACTGAAAAGCCTCTGGAGTGTCCAGTGAAAGAGCAACTGTATATACAGCGTCTCCTATCTATTCTGTTTACACATTTCTGCATCGTAACCCGGTGCAAACCAAAACAAAGAGGTAAAACCACTTAAAATGATCTGTAGAAACCCCCACACTGCAAAAAGGGAAGGAACAGCAAAGGATGGAACTAATTCAAGGATCAACAGAGAAGTAAAATACAGCTAGGAATGAATGAAAACAGAAAAAAAGAGCAGGTTTATAACAGGGCAGCAGCAATGTTGCAATAAGAAGACTATTTAGTAAATAGCAGTAAACAGATAAATCAGTGCAGCTGTGTGGGGTTGGATGGCCCATGTAAGGGATGTGTGTTCTTATTAAACCGCAGGGGGCCCAAATAGTGACACTGCACCTGCGCAACGCAGAGAAGAGGTGGGTTTAGGACTATGAAGGGATACGAGAAGAAACAGAAAGATCCCGGAAAGGTCACGCAGGATACAAGCTGGCATTGTGTCTAAATAACAGTTTATCACTGAAGTGCTAAACTTCAAAAGAAAGAACATACTACTTGGTGCAAGTTATGGAAAAACAAGCTTGGCATTTAAAAAGGCATTCAGTGCCATGTTTGTTGATGGATAAAAGACTGTTTTACTACTGTTAATAGGTTTCAGCTTGCTTTTCTGCATTTCCTTTGGGAATCAGTCTAAAGAAGCCGTGAAATCTCAGTCAGTGCTTTGGCAAAGACCAATTACACATCTGATTCAAGCTCAATTTAATTTCTAAAATAAATGCATAGCTCAGCATCAAACCGTATTTGATTCAGTCTGAAAACATAAATTGTATGCATATATGCATGTTTACCTTAGGGAGCATGGGGGTTGCCTTCTTGCTTTTCTTCTCTGAGGGATCATCCAGCATGTCTGGCTCAAAGGTGTAGAGCTCGGCCAGCTCGTTCATTGTAAAGTGCCTCTCGATCTGCTGCTGGTCCACAACCCGGAATGACAAGGACTGCTTGGTTACCTGCCGCTCATAGATCTTCTCCTCCATTGTACCCTGAAGTATGAGAATGGAATGAGTGAACAGCCAAGAAAAGAAAAACAAATGAAGGTCTACTTACAAAGGAGCAGGTTGCCTTACTATGCATTACTTTGTCATTCATGACAGAGGCAATGTCTCTGAAGCCACTGAGATTCTGTACATATTCATCAATCTCTTTTAGAAGTTCCAGACTGTGACTGTGTCAACGGCCAACTCCTAACTAAACAAGTCACTGTGTTATTAGTTTTCTTTTAGCATGAGATGGGTGTTTTTATTAGTGCTGTGTAGTATTTAACTTAAGTCACTAACTGTCCATTGAACTGTTTCCAGATATGGACTTTCTCAAATTCGCAGTGTGTCCAACACATGAACTGAAATACTCTTGGCTGATCACAGATGGTTTATTATACATATCTATCAGCACCACATCCGTAAACAGAACAGCCCACCAAGCTCACCTGGGCAAGGAACCTGTAGACAAACACGGTCTTCAGTTGGCCAAAGCGGTAGACTCTGAAGATACTCTGGACGTCGTAGGACGGGTTCCAGGAGGCATCGAAGATGATGACCCTGTTGGCTGCCACCAGGTTGATGCCGAGTGAGCCGGCTCGCGTTGAGATGAGGAACAAACGACCTCTGGGAAAGTAAAAGCAAGGGAGACAAATAGGAGTGTTCTGAAAGCTTGCATTATCATTTGTTGAGCATTTTTGCATTTAGATGCATCTTAAATTTTTGTTTTACATCTTCACGTATTGTTCTGTGCCGTTTCATATTATAGGGTACATTACCTTACGTTACTGGTGTCATTAAACTCTTCGGCCCACTTCTTTCTGGTAGTGGCGTTAGTGGAACCATCCAGGCGATAGTAGTCTATGTTCCTGAACCACTTGCCTTCACCTTCAGAGACACACTACAGTTACAACACTGTTGACGTTTCAAAATCACCATCTACGCTGCACAGAGCCTTCAAAATAACATGTCTCGCCATCAAAAGAGCCGTTTCCTTGTCAGAAGGACTTAGTTTGGGTATTAACAGACAGCAGATAGATGGCTGTGTTGGTTAGAGGCCAGTCGTGTTTAGCCTTCAAAATGGCTGCCCCCCCCCCCCTTACCAGCCTTCATAACCAACATTTCAGTATGTTTCCAATTACAGCACTGTGATCTTTTCATTACAAATTACAAACCCTTGAGCAAACATTTTTTGTGGAATAAAAAGTCAAGGTCTAATCATTTTCAAAATGAAAGTAAAAACAGCTGCTGAAGTTTAATTAGGAACATGACCTTACACCAGCAGCGGTGTGTGTTCAGGGGTAACAAGCAAACCAACGATTACAAGAATCCATGCTGCATGTGGACTGTCTCATGAGTGTGAAACATGCATTTCCAGGAATCCATGTTAAGGTTACAGACAACAGCATAAAACCACAAAAATGTATGTTGGGACAACATCCTCAAACTAGATAAGTAGCTGGTTTATTTTATACAATTTTGGTAAACACATATTTCTATAGATTATAAAACCAAGATCTGCTATGTGAATGTTAGCATACAGAGAAAGATGATCATTTTTAAATGTAGTGTAATGTTAACAGACATGTCAACTGAGTAAAAAACCTTGTATGTACCTTTGTATGGAGACACTTTATCCTCATCTTTAGCTCTGCAAGCCAGTTCAAGGAAATCCTCAATGAGGTCCAGAGAGATGAGGGACTGACTGAACACCAACCTGAGGACAAACAAGGACTGAAGTTACACCAGGACCGCTAGAGCCCGAGTGATTCAGATTTTTTGAGGGACAGTTATGAAAATGATATTAGCGAGGGAAAAATAGCAGATCTATTTTTTTTAATTATTGCATTGACTCTAAAGATGTTATCAAAACCTTATGACAGAGAAATTGATTGGAATAATCAAAGCTTCAAATTTTAAAGATTCAGCATAAACTTTTTTTATACATAACTAAAAAACAACAAATACAAGCGTAACACATTGTGTAAACATAAATGCACATATTTCCTGCATTATTTATGCGGTAAAATAAAAGTTTTACAAATTGCCAAACATAAAAGCTGACACCAATGTTTGTAAAAGGCTCATATCGGCTGTCATCCAATATAAGTTCTACATTTTACAACACAGTCACCCCTAAAATCTTCAAGTCACACCGAGAACCAACAGGTTCACTTACACTTTATCTTCCACTTCCTCTGCCATTCGCAGGATATCAAAGAGGAGTGTTATCTTTCCAGAGTGCTCCAGAATTTCAGCATCCGCCTCAGTGACAAACTCCTTGTGCCAGTCAGCAGAGGGACTCCCAGGTGACGAGCCAGAGGGCCGAGCTGTTTGAGATACATGAAGTAACAGATCAGTGTGCATGCCGGCAGAGATGCCCCTGATCAAGTAACTGTAGCAAAGACAACACAATTATAATACTGGGCTACACTACACGCTACAGTTTCTGAGTAAATAGTTGTTACCAAAGCAAGAATGCCCATTGAATCTTCTCTTTTTATTGTCCATTCTTTCCATATGTTTAGCTAAATCAATTCTTGCTTTCCTGGGCAAATCTATTCACAAATTTTAATGAGACCAGCTTAATAAATCCTACAAATGTAATAATACAAAGAAAACTGTTGTACAATCTGTAAACACAATTCCTTCCTAGTCCCTCGAATCCTGAATTTCTGGCTCCCAGGCTCAACTTATTGTAAGTGGATCTTTTTCAGGAAATCTAGTAACAAAGGCTGAGCTTCTGGCTACTGCAAGGATACCATTCTGAATGTGAAAATAAGTGGCGAGTGACATTACTCGTTTCACAATGGAATCTCCCACATATGCGGCTCTGGTCATAATGTCTCCTAATATGTCGTGAATACTCCAGACTTACGCTCCTCAACAGGCTCTGCTCTGTTTCTGCCCTCTCCGTTCCTTCCCCGAGAGCTGCTGTTCCACTCCTTGATGACCTCCACATCATCACTGTCGGAGTCATCAGAGCCCTTCTTTTTTCCCTTCCCTTGCTTCTTTTTCCTATTAGGGTGGAGGAACAGTGGAAGAGTTGGGGTCAGCAGGAGTAACAGATGCAATAGAGAAGGGCAGTTAAATGAGGTCATCTCTGCGCAAATATACAAAAAAAAGTGAGGGAAACTTCAAATTTACTTTTTTGCCTTCTCGTCCTCAGAGGTCATGCTCATCGAGGATTCTTCGGTTTCTGAAGCAATAAATTCGTCCATGCTGTCCTCGTCAAAGAATCCCTGCAAGAGAGTGTATGTGTGAGGCTCGACTGTGTGGAGATATAGGTCAAGCAAACACAGCTTGATTGTGGGTAATAGAATTTATGCATAAGGGAGAAATTCTGCCACAGAGGCAACATGTGTTGTTCTCCCATGCTGCTTGACCTGTCAGCACTACATTTCTATTGTTTCCCCACCGTGTGTGATTTGTGGTCATTTATATTCCCAGGTTTGAGTGTGTTTAGTGTGGTGTAGTCTGGTCTTCTATGGTCCTACCCTGTTTTCTTTACTGATGTAGTCCAGCTGAAGGCACCAGGGATGGGTCCAGATTCTGCTGAGCATCTGGAAATCCTGGAAGAGTTTGGTCCCCGCACGGCCACGGCCCCCCTCCATAGCATTCCCCACACCTGCACACAAGGAGGAAGATGAATGTGTGTTTGCATTATGTACGAGAGAGCACACCCTCAACCTCCTCATGAATCGGATGAGTGGGAAAACATAGCACAACAAAACCTAAATAAGATTTCTGAGGGACAAAAAAATACAGTAGAAATAAATAAATGCAAGAATAAACAATTACATTTTGGTAATGAAAAAGGCTATTTCTGTATTTTTCCATACATTTATTAATACAATTCTACATTTATTAATTTATTTTAAAATGTCTTCATTTAATTATTTCTGTTTTTCTACATGTATTTATTTCTTTGTTTCTGTATGCTAATAAGGTAGGCGGTCCTTTTTTTGACCCTGGTTTCTACCTGCAGCCACTTCACTATGGACAAATTGCAGTAAAATTATTATTGTTCTAACAAAACAGATAAAACCCAAGAAGTGTCAATGGTTTCATCATAAAGAGAGTGACAGCTGCTGAATGTTAACTTTGTACCTGCGCTGCATGTAGCTATGACTGGTGGTCTTAGGTCCAAAGACACCACTGTGGAGGTCCAGAGCCAGTCACAACATCAGCACTGTGCCCCATGGACAAGCCAGCCTAATGAGCCACAGCACATACCACCAACCCCCCCCCCACCCACCCCCCATCACTCCTCTTCAAACATACTGGTTCTCCTGTTATTTGTTTTCACTTTTGGTGTAAAACCTCTGGCCCCTCCTGCCTCACAATGTCTTTCCCCTTCCTTTATGCCCCCACATTCCCCCTATTACCCCCCCACCCTCTGTTCCCTCTCTCCCAGGGCTCTTCATTAGGGAGACGTGGGAAACTGGGCTTAAACCCTGCCTGCGGCACTCTGCCAGCTGCCACTCCTACACACACACACGCACACACACCCACTGTGGGCCACATTCGGAGACGAAAGTCCACTAAACGACTTAACAATACAGCATGAAAGTGAGAGACCAGTCCAGAACACTTTCAATTGGATTTTGTTTTAATTTAAGGCTTAATCTAGGCTAAATCCCTGTCCAAGCAATCAGACCTGATTCTGTAAAAGCACTGTTTCCAGCCTCTAGAGGCTCTGCTGCTCTCAACACCCAAAAAGATCTGAATAGTTTAAGCCGACCAGCGGCGGTGCCATTCTCATAATCCTTTGCTCCTGTGCAAGAAAAACTCAAAAAGCTTCATAAGAGCGTGTTTCCCACCTGTGAAGTGCTCCAGGTAGTATCTGTAGAGTTTACACTGGATCGGCGTCACTCTAATAGACAGCACATATTCGTGTTTGGGTGGCAGGAACTTTGTGAGCGCTGTGTAATCCTTCCTCTGTGGGAAGCAGAAATCAGTCAGCCACTTTAGAGAGACAAAGAGAAGGTGGATGAATAGATTCTAAGTGAAATGTTTTCAGGCAGTTTTGATTTACCTGGACACAACCAGCCAGCATCTCATAGAGGATGTGAGCCCTCTTTTTCATGATCCGGACATCGTGTAGCGTGGAGTCGGCACACTGACCGTTCTGGATGGGGTTAATGAAGCGGTTCCTGAACTCCTTAACTGACCCAAGCAGGTTTTCCTTGATGAAGTTGACCATGCAGTGGTCTGATAAGGAGACAATGATTAGTCATACATACATTCATGACACAACAACAATATCTTGGTACAAAGTTATCTCAATTAAATGTCAATGTCTAAAACCAAAGACAACAAACAGCCTCTCTTCAACTGTGGATCGTAACTAAGTATTCTCACATTCAATGAGGTTGTTTTGCAGAGGTGTTCCAGTCAGCACGACCCTCCTCCTCGTCCTGATAGAGTTCATCGCTTTGGACACTGCTGATGCCTCGTTCTTCAGGATGTGACCTTCATCGCAGATCACCATGTCTGGACCTGGTTTCAGTGAACAAAAAGATAAGCTTATGACGAGAGAAAGAGCAACTGAATTTGAAAAAATGCTGTAATTACCGATTCAGATTATATATATATTTTCTGCCAGTTTCAGTGTGTCCAAATGTTGGTAATAGGGAACAGATCTCACTCCTGTAAAGGGATGGGTGTTTAGACTTAACAGTATGACTACTCATAGTGATACTGCTCATCAATCCAACTAGATTATTTCTGAAAAGGGTTTTTTTTTTAGGACTTGAGTGCTTAGCTTTGACTACAGCAAGAGAAAGAGAACTTCACCCACTTTAATTACCTTTTGGATTTTGATGAAATATGGTCGATGGTTTGGAACTGAGCAATTTATTTAGCTTAATGCAAACAGTAAAATAAATAGAACCTGAATATTGCATTTTCCTGCCCTTATAACACATGTTCTTGTACAGCATTGATATTGATAGCTTCACCACATTTGCGGACAAAATAACTCTTATTCCCATCGGGTCTCAATCTCATTTGACAGGGGCATCGTCAGTGAATCATTTTGCTGGCCTGCAACCAAATAATAGTTGTCAAGCTGTAATAATTTCATCAGTTTGTCACATGATAACATTCAGATACAAATGCAACACATATTTAATACTGTAAGCAGCATGTAAGTAGCACCACACTGAGCAAACTAGTAAAACCATAAAAACAGGAGCAGCATGTGATCTTGCATATCCTAGTGCTCCCTTAAGTATCTTGCTTTTGCTCAGTGTTTATCAGGTTGCCAATCAGGGACTTCGTCAAAGCGAAAATCCTGGAAAACTGAGGGAAAATTCCCTTTCCCTGTATTGCCACTTGGGATGACATTGGCGGCTGTTTAGCAAGTTACATAGACAGACGTTAAGGAAGGGAACCCCTGCTGCCCTGTGAATGAATCACATATGTACAACATACAGAGAAATTCGAGTTCATCCCCAGACACCAGTTCTGGAAGAGCACTCAGCTCAGAATATACAATTTATTTCTGCAGCCTCTTTATATTCATATTTCTGCTCTGTTTGCTCTTTTATGTGAGTGGATTAGAAGCTTTGGTTAAAATGTTCTACAATCAATGGGCTTTCTATTTTCCTTACTTCACTCAGCTATATTCTTTGTGTTACTGAGGACCGGTTTCTGTGGGTCAAAGGTGGCCATATGGAAATGCACGGCACATGCGGTAAAGAGGCCAACTCTAATACAAATAGTTCCGGGAAAAAAAAGGGAAAGTGGGGAGAAAACATCTCATATTGTGCCATGCCCAGTTGTTCAGATGACAAAAAAATCCATTTATGTCCCTTGGCTGCATTCCAAACTGCTCTTTTGAAGCTTTATTGTGCGGACAAATTGGTATCTCGGCACAAAACTGTGCCTCTAGAATGAGTCTCTTTGATTCTGAGAGCTTTATCTGCGTGAAAGCATGTCGCACATGCCAGGGCTTTTTGCTGGCACGGTGGTATTTAACTACCAAAGACCACTCTAGTGATATATTCAACAAGACTGGTGAAATTAAAGATGAAGCACAGGGACAATAAGACAGAGAAAGTTCAGAATGGCTGGAACTATGGACACCGGAGCAATGAGGGTCCAAGTGAGAGCACTGGCGCACATTTGCTGATTTATTCTGTGCTCCTGAGGTCCTTGACTGAGACTTATAGACAAAGAAGAGTCAATACAAAGACAAGTGCATTAGGAAAAAAGTGGGTGATCCCTGCATGTGTGGAGTTGTTGTATTTAAGCCTCATAGAGTTTGCCCTGGATAAGGGCTATGGTGCCATATGGGTTAATGTTAAGGGGAACATGTATTGATAAGGAAACAGATTTGTGGTGGGTGTGTCAATATTGACTGCTGCAACATATCAAGTGAAAGGCATGTTATATACCATGTCAGCAGTAGATTTATTATTGTTTCTCAATTTGATAGTGGTGCAGGGAGGTTCAATTTCAATGTTGCTATTAAAGTGAGCCTATACCTCCATCAAGGGTGTTTTACCTCTGTCTATCTGTTTTGTTTTTCAGTAGGATTACACAAAAAATGCTGAACAAAAAGAAAGGATAAGACATGTTCCAAGAAAGAACCATAAACAGTTTGGGGTAGATCCAGACAAAGGGTCGGATCCAGTCGCCTTTGGCACTTTCATTAACATTGCGAGATAAGGATAAGAAATAACACATGGATCTTGATAGAAAAAATAAGTCATATTTAGCGTCTGATGTGAGAGTGTGCAACCTAGTGTGACGTGATTGAATTTAATGGGGCAGCTGGGCCTTGGTGGAGTGTTTTTTAAGTGTCCAATAGTTTCCACAGTAATGACCAAAGAACACATGTCTGGCCTGTGTTTGAGTGCCATCGTCGGATTTTATAGTGTGTGTTGGAATATCACACATTCATGATGCCAATCCAGTCTTGGCCACGGCAAAAACTCAGCTCTCCAAAAGGAGTAAAAATTATTACTTGAAATAAGCAAAATGATCTGCTGTCAAGAGCCTTCATTTCAAAACACAGGTTATGTTAATGTGAACAGCAGAAAGCAGTGAACTTAAAAATGCCCTGTAAAGTAACTTAACCTTTATATTAGGGTTGGCTCTCTGCTGTAGTCAGGGTTGGCCACAGTGCCAAAGGAAGTGAAGCCTTGCGTGGAATATTCCTCTTGATGGAACATGCCTACAGAATATCCAACACACTGTTTAAACTCAACCCGTCAATGCTCTGCTCATGCTGCGAAGCATGCCGCTGCACCGCTCACCTAAATGCTCTGCGGCCACTTGCTGCAGTTCGCATAGCGTTTCCAAAGCTCAGCTCCAGCATACACCCGCGGGCTCCGACTCAACATCCCCTGTGAAAGAATTTATTACACTCCCTGCTGTGCTTAGCTCAGTGAGGTCTAAGAATGAACACCGAATATCAATGTTGTGCATATTCAAAATTGACATAATCATCCATGCCGTACAAGTTGGCTGACTGGACCACAGTTTTTGAATGAACAATAATAAATAAAGACAAGTGAACCCAAAGGTTTAGCAGTATGCACATGTTAATAGTTGTAGAGATGGCTTGTTGACAGCCAGTTGTTTAAGATGTTTTTCGGAATTCTACTGCTTATGTGAAAACTATATAAAAAAAAAAAAAATTCCCATCAAATCAGATTTGATGCCAAACCTGCCATTCGGCCAGCTCTTTTAAATGGCATTGTGTTTTCAAGTGACTCCAAAGTTTGCGGTGCTGACTCACAGTGTTGTGAAAAGGCCCCTCCACAGATTCCATCCGCATTAGTTGTGGGGTGATGTCACAAGCTCATTTCATGAGTCAGTTAGACATTCTGTATCACTGTTGTCTCTGGTTTGTTTATGCTCGGGGCAAAGACCCATGTGGGATTTCTAGTTATTGATCGCTACATTGATTTATGGTTGGGGTGGACAGCTTGACTCTTCTGGTGGTTTCTTTGTACTGAGTTTCACTGCACACATCTCCTTTTGTTTTTGGTTGTTTCATATGTATATTGTCACCACTGTTTTAGGTTAGTGAAGGCTGCAGGGCTGAAAGAGCTCTCTCTCTCTCTCTCTCTCTTTCAAAACTGAGAGACTGGGATAGGAATAGATAGAAAACATTATTTTCAGACAAACAAAAAACAAAAGCAACCTTTAAGCCAGGGACGTTAATAGTTTATAAGTAATTAAGATTATTTAATAAGAAATTCCCCTTCTACTTCTGTTTCAACTTGCAAACTGTGCAAATTCACTAAAGCTGAACAAAGGGGAAAAAAACTGCAAGTCTGCTGGTGCCAGTGTGAACTGGAATGAGAAAACACGTTTTAAATTCAGTTGGCTTCAGTGTAGCTAGAACAATAGTAGTTCCAAATCTACACAACAAGTAGGTCTCATAACAACTTCCACTCTCCAGAAATAATTCTGAAAATGTTAAAACAGAAAATGGGAGTGTAAAAGCTGTGAAATGTCTTGAGAGTTAAATATAGGTCTCACTTGCGAGACGGTTCCAAATCCATCAGAAGTGGGGTGGCATGGTGGTGCAGTGGTTGGCACTGTTGTCTCATGACACTAGGTAGGGGGCTTGTAACCTGTCTGGTGGCCAGTGTGATAGATGTTTTCTGGAAGCTGGTGAAAGGAGAACTCAGGCAGCAGCTGATGTCTTATGCAGAAGATTTGAATGTAGACTTGAGGAGACCAGAATGTGAAACAATATACAAACACTAACAGAGTAACATGAGCAATTGTCACCTTCAAGTCTGAAGATGTCTCCCACAGCATCCCAATTTATCTCCCTCACCCTGTGTCACCCATCTAACAGAATATCTATGAAAGGGTAGAATTGCTGTCACTCTCTATTACATGTAGGTGTTCACATCCTATTGGACAGTTACGCCTAAAGCACGCATCCCTAAATCGCATCGCCACATCTTGCCACTGATGTAATTTACGAAAGAGCTGAAGTTGGTGCCTCTCTGTCTGGGGCATCTGAATTAGATATGAAAGTCCATGAGTGGAGACACTACAATGTTCTGCTATGTGGCCCTCTATCTATAGCCTGACCTTGGCTATTGCTTGGAGAGAAAGGAGTATGTGTGGGAAATGAGACAGGCTCCATTCTCCTGTGAACAGGTGTATTGTGTGAGTATGGTCAACAATTCCTTCACAGCCAGGGCCTTAATGTATGAATCTTGCTTGTTCTCTCTTGTATGTTAGTGCAATTGATGACTCTATATTGCCCGTAGCTGTGAATGTGTATACATTTAGATGGTGTGTGCTTTGAACCCCATCTGCTAACATGGAGGAGATCTGTGACCCTGCAGCCGATCGGGATGTTTAACTACACATTTGGGAGCATTCCTGTCATCCATCCTTGTATACAATTCAGTCGAGCAACTCACATTTGAAATGTTTATTGCAGCAGCAGAACCTAGTTAGAGTTTGGCGTCTGGGCTCCGACTACATCACTTCCCCAGATAAGATTACATTCATATAATAATAAGTAATAAACAAATATCTTTAACCCCCCCTGTCAAAGCCTACAGGAGGAGCGAAACTGACGCAGGGCAGCAGAGGCTCCAAAGAGAGAGATGGGAAATCTTTGCAGCTTAAAAAGAGATGGTGATTTGGATGGTGTGTATTATATAGGGTTGTGTACAGTGAGGTATGTTGCATGATTAGCAGCGCAGCTCTAGAACGCTCGAAAGCGTCTCTCAATTAATGTCAGTATCTTATAAAGGCTTTAAAACCACTGTTGCTTTTATTTTGACTGAAAGTGCATATTACATGCCACATAAGTAATAACACCACAGTGTGTTAAGATCCCAAGAAAGGGTTACAGAGGCCCAAGAGCTACTTTCTCTTTCTGTTTTCCTCTGTTTTACACAAACCCACAATCTAATTGGTTTCCAAAGTGTAAAAAAAAAAACATAAATATGAGCAAATGAAAAGGAAGCAATTAAATTCCTTCCTCTGTTGTGCAACATCGTGTATATAGTAAAACACAGGGTATTAAAAGTGTCTGCGATAATGGGTGACATTCTGTCAGGAGGCTTAAATATCAGGAGTTGACTTTGGAGATTATCTGACAGAGTCATTTGCATACAGACACTTCTGACAGAATCGATGAAGCACAGTGCTCTCACTCTCGGCCTCGCTCTACCAAATGTTGCTGAAATTTTCATGAAGGAGGAGATGCTCGTCTTCCACATGAGAGGGAAGCGCCACTTGCCGCACAGTGATACCGCGTATGTGCAATGATTGCAGGCGCTGCTTCGACATCAGTAGAGGTTGCATGATCAAACCAGCTCACCACTCTGACTGCTGTCGATCTTTAATGAATAAAACAGTATGCAGGCATTTCTTAATTAATGTAACATCCTTTTTTTTTCATCACACTTTGATCATTTAGTTTTCCTGATTCCAAACTACTAATGGGATTTAGGCAGCTGTTCTTAGAAGTTTTAAAGCATTACTGATCAGAGATGCTTACACTCAGAAAGAAGAAAGTTATTATTTTCTGAGTTATAACACAATTTGCAAATATTTTATATATACTGAACCCAGAAGAAAAAGTCCTGCCCACAGATATACTGTGTGTGTGTGTGTGTGTGTGTGTGTGTTTTGTGGTCAAGACTAGTAAAGCACTATACGTATCTGTATCTGTATCCACGGTCAGTTCTTCCCCATTGAGGTTATTTTTCCATTTCAATACATTTCTGAAAATGTATTAATATGACAATCAAAACCAATTCAAAGCTGTACTGCAGGCTATAGACCAGGAAAAGTAGATCTCTGGAAAATGTATATAAGAAATGTATTGCTCTGCTGCGTGAGGAATAATTACATTTAAATAATTATCTCTCCTGTAGATATTAAATATTGTTGTACATAAAGCAGAATAAAACAGTTAAGGATGTGTCAGTCCTGCATTGATACTTTTTAAAGTTAATAACTTTCAGATGTCATCTGTGAGTCAATGTTGTTTATCAATTATGTTATCGCAATAAAGAAAGAGTCAGGTGATTTAGGTCATTACTTCTTTCTTCTTTTAAGAAAAAATTGAAAATATATAATTTAGTTGAATTTTAGAGTTTTCATAGAAGCACAGGATCTGGTTCAATAATTCAATTATTTAAGGCTGGAAGTGTGAAATGATTTGGGAGAATTTTCTGAAAGTTAGACAATACAAACAGGATGAACATGGGAACAACTTTAAATCACATCAACATGGATTAATAAAGCATGTACTCCTTTTAACATCCGCTAAAAAATATAAAACAGACTTGTCATCGCTTCTCTGAGATGACTTAAGCTTATAGAAAAGCAAGAGTATAACATTCACATTTAGTTATATGGACTCGTTCAGTGGGACTTGCAGGAGACATAAAGAAGGTGATTGAAACAACTCTGTGGTCCCACTCATATATGATACTACACGTTTTCAGACATGACCTCCAGAGCAGGAGATTCTTCGCTCAGGCGTGTTGGATGGCGCATCATGCGGAGACATTGCACTGGAGAGATAGCGTGTCTTTGTTTATGACACATTGATACGGTCGTCTGCCCTGTCTTGACATCTTCATTGGAGTTTCCTCTGTGGCACCGCTTCTTTAGATTTTCTTTCCTTTCACTTTTTGCATCTGTCGTTAGAAATGTCATCAACACGCTCACTTGCAGTGAATCCTGCAGAGGCTCTCACATCCGCTCCTCTCGAATTTCTGTGGCCTCTTTACTCGTGGGCTGGCCAGAAAGTCCAGAGGCTTTCAGTCGTACATTTGCGTTCACGCATACAGCGCTGAGAATGTACAGAGGATCACCGGAGTTCAGTGCATGTCTAAGAGCAGTTATAAAGCTAGATCATGTCTGACCATTAGATTCTACATCTCTGGTAAAGACCCAGCTTTTCAAATACTCAGGCTTTGTCCTCTTCAATCGAGATTTTATGTCTTTGACAAAAACGTCCTCAGAGACACAGTCAATATTATCCACTTTGTTTTTCAACTGGCTCCATGTTATTGCATTACTGTTTTAAATGTGTGTGCACATCATTAATCTACTACTAGCTTGTTGTTCTTTGATTTTGATCTAAATGTGCCTGGATGTCACCCCGCATTTGAAAAAGTAAATGAAAGTTACTGTGTAGCATGTGATTTGTTCGATTTCAATTTAAAACTGAGTGGATTCTTGTTGCCTTGAATAGATCACACTCTGTTTCGAAGCAACATCAGTACAGATTAAGGTTACACTTTGTCTCGTCAAACATATTTTCCCACCACATGTTTACATTTTGTATATTTTATATTCATGAAGAAGGACTGAAATTAACCATTAATACTTTGACCCCTGTGTGCGTGTGTGTATCTATATATATATATATAAGCTCTCAGAACTGATTTGTGTCAGTTTGTGCTCTCATGTGTCTTTTCATCTTCTGTTTTATCTCAGCGTGTTTTATTTCCGCCTGTTAATTACTCAAAATGGATTAATTTGTTTATTGTTTTATGTTCATTTTATTCTCATGAGACAGTACCCTGGTCATAATTAAAAGTAAGTTCTTAAGTTTTGTGCCTGGGTAAATAATGATAGAACAAATAGTACAAATATAATTGCAAATCAAATCGTTTGATCAACACCTTTGATCATTACTTCATATCTATTTTGTTTATTCAGAAGCAGTATGGGAATCATGTACTAATTAGTATGTATAGTAGTATATTAAATGTTTGGACATTTATCTTTCTACCCTCTCACATTAAGGATTCCTGATTATCCTTAAGTACATTATTATGAACATCACCCTCTGCGAGCTATTGCGGCACCGGTGCAACACTACTAGGATGTAAGTCCCCAGCTTTTTGCCATTGATGCTTGTAGAATGTTTGGCCATTCATTTTTTTCATTTTCCTATGTGGAAATCAAGCTATTCTATATCCTGACATTGTGTCTTTGCTCTCTCTCTCTTGTAATGGGAAAGTAAAAGGACATGGTTAAAGTTAGTCAGGACCCTAATTAAAACACACTACTAAGGCAGGTTGGTGCAGTTGACATATTTTGATAAAAAATAAAAAGGCTTACAGATGCTATGGCAGAGAGGAAGGCAAAATAATAGAGAGGATATGTCCAAAAATGTGAATTCTGTTAAACAGAAAGGGCCAGTGGAGAGGGAGGTGAAGAAAAGACCCGTGGATATCTGGGGAATGGCCTTGAACCCGGGTGGGGGCTGAGGCTTAGGGGGGATGGCAGGAAAACTGGACAAACTGGTATGGGTGAAGGTGAAGGTAGAGATAATGACAGGACCACTGCTGAGGGCGAACAGCAGGTATTCCGAGGCCAAAGGAGGGAGATCTGTGGAAATCGAACAGGCGGCAGAAAGCTAAATTTCTCTTTAGACTGAGCAGGCAGGTGACTGCAGATGTGAATCTACCCTGGAGGCTGAGCAGGGACGGTTGACTGGGCATATGGAGCAAATGTTGGACAGACCAACGACATGAGATCAGGAGCAGGTGTTGGTCGGACTCAGGAATAAATGTGACAGCTGGAACCCCTGATGCTGCAGCAGACAGGATGGCGACAAAGGAACAGTAGGACTGTCAAGGGGAGAACCTAACAAGGGTCCAGCTCTGAATCTGGCTCAGCATAGACTGTAGTGCTGGGTAGCAGTGGCTCTGGATTACTGGGCAGCTGTATCTCCCACTGGTGTTTGGAGACACAATGTCCATGTTGTCTTCTCTGTCCTCCATGGAATACCAGGAATATGCCTGGGTGAGTCTCTCAGAAAATGGACCAAGGTCTTCCAGATCAGAATCTGATGGAAGGGCAGCCAATAGCTGTTCAATTATGAATTCAAAGTAGGAACTAGAATACAAGAAAATAGAAGATTCTAAAAAGTTTTTATTTCGCTTTTAATAACTTTGGTGTTTTAAATTTAGCTAGCTATGTTAGCACTAGGACAGTAAATCATGAGGTGCATCACGTTCATCTCGAGTTTAAATTCCTAAATACAACATTTGAAAGCCATGAAACCCAAATAGTTTGAAACACGTCAACTTTTGGTCTAAAAGCATTAATGGAAAGGTGAAGCAATGTGTAAACTAACATATGGTAACGAAGACAGCTTCCCAGCAACAGTCTGAGGAGAACATTTGTAATTCTACCAATTTATAGTTTCAATAATATATATTCCTACTCTTACTGCAATGATGTAATAGTGTAGCCTTGTCAGAATCAGCAGTGCCTCAGATATAAATGACTATGATGCTGCAGTGTTTCAGTGATATGAATATTTTGATTTACAAATTACTGTTGTGTCACATTTAAACAGGGTACAAATCCATTATTCCAACTCACTGGCTAAAGATGATATTTGTTCTGTGTGAAGAAAGCTTTAATTTCTTATAATAATACCCATTTAAAACCACTATCTCTCCTGAAAAGCACCACACAGGCATATCTGTAACATGTGCAGCAGTCCTTATGACAAAATTTGGCTTTTGGAATACTGAGGCCTGATTCTCGCTCTTGTTGGAGATTGTCGGGACTTCACAGCTTATCCTGGCAACAAAAAAAAAAAAAAGAAGACTTATCTTTTCATGAAGATTCCAGTTCATGAAAGGCAAAACCTTACTGCTGGATGTGCTTGGCTTTCATCAAGCTGACTCCTAGTTGCTCGGGTTTTTATTTGCCAGCAGATATTCGCAATGTGACTGAAATACACTTTACATCTGTAATGACAAGCCGACCAAATCCTGCAACGGAGGAACATTCAGCGGCCCTTTGTAGATGCTGTGCAGACTGCAAAGTTGCACATTAGTCATAGTGAGAAAACATTGAGCCTCACTTTAGTATAAACTGAAAACAAACACTATGCTGTCAATGCTTACAGAAGGTACCAGGTACTTGGAAACATGCTCTTCTCAGATGGCTTACCCATCGTGGTTTTAGCTGATCTTTTTTATTCCTTACTTTTGTTAAGTATTCACAACAAGAGGGTTCGTGGTTTGTCTTGCATCGCAGAGATGACACCCAAATTGTAACTAATGCCTCTAAGCTCACTGTGGTATAAACTCATTCTGCCTGCCGAGCCGTACAAAATCGATGTCGGCACAATCAGGAAACCATGACAAAGCTGCACTGTGCAGTGTTCTGAAGCATGTTTAACTCTTACATGTAAATGACAGATATACTATCCAGTGTGAGTCAGTCAGGCCCAACATCACGATCAGCCAATCAGTTGAATCAGTTCACAACAGTGAACATTCTGTCTGCCTTGAAGAGGGAAGGGGTTGCCTTAAAGATGTGTCGGCTGGTTCAGCAGGATGTAACGGGAACCAGGAGGAGAGTGTGGTGGTTCCGTCTCTGACATCATCCACCCGGGTTTATAAGGGATGCCCCCCCCCCCCCGACCAGAAGGGATGTGGGTAGAGCTGAGGGAAGGAGTGAAGAGAGGATGAAGGGATGGGGAAGCAAGAATGAAATGATGTGGGTATAGGGATGAGGGAAGGATGATGAAGGGATGAGCAGAGGTAGAAAGGTGAATGAAATAAGAGAAAGGGTCCTGAACCTGAGTCAACTAGTTCTCTTTATTTAGTTTTAGTGAAAATGAAACCTCGTCTCGATGTTAGCTTTTTCTCAGTTTGGACATAATCACCATCAACTGCAGTAATTGTTCCATCTCTTCCATATAGATGGACAAATAAATACACAAGAAGACATCTCTTCCCTTTAATCTCCCAACCCCCTGTGATTTATCTTAATGAGAATCACTGAAACATCTCATTTCCAAACATTTGATGCAGGCGCTGCTTGTGTACTGTGGCTGCATGTATCCCTCTGCATGCTTAATGCTTCGGTTTCTGTCTAGAAAAAAACGAGCAGGCTGAGTAAACTGGCAACTTGCCCTGTAGACGTGAGCATGCATCATGCATGATAGTGTGCTGCCATCAGTGTGTGCACGTGCGTATGCTTGGGGGACAAATTCTAAACCCGTTGGATAAAAGCCCTTTGTCAGTGTAGCCATGTACTCTCTTTTTCATTTGAGCCAATTTGGGGCTAGTGGACAAGTTCCTTGTAAGAGTGCTATATTGACAGTTGTTATAAATGATCATCAACAATCTGGATCAAAGAGTCATAATAAAAACACTACTGCAACTTCATGTTCATGGTCCAAGCAAAGGAAGCCTATGACTTTGTGAAAATATAAAATTCCAAAAAGCCACAAAGCCAAACAATTGTTTTATACAGGTTGGTGGATGTTTATCCCTGTACCGTGAGTTTGTGTTTTTTGATTATGTTTCAGGTCTGTCCTCTTTTACTCCTCCTCTACTTACCAGCTGCAGTATGCAGCCCGTGTCCTTTCATCCTGTCTTTGCCAGATTGTTCAGTCACTCGGTGTTCAAATGCTACAGCCATCACTGCCAGTGTTGCTGAACGTTTGCCTGCCATCTTATCTGTTGTTGTAATTTCTGGTTTCTCTGTTCTCCAGGTTAACATACCTGCTTCACTCTGTCCTCCACCACATCTCGCTACAATATTGCCAGACATTCTGATTAGAACGCCAGCCCTACTTCTTAACTGTCTGATTTGTTTCCCATGTATCCCCTATTGGAAGAACCCAGGATCCTACCAGTAGAGATCAGATTCCGATTTTTACAATAACATAAAACAACGTTTAAATTTAAAACAACTTTTGTTTCTAATTAAAATAATCATGACTAACATTTGATAATACGCAATATTACAGTATAGTTTGTTTCTGGTATGCAAATGTGTTACATATTAAGTGTGTATTTTACTTTAATTACTTTAATTAATATTATTCACACAGATGGATTATATGTAAAATAATACGGGCAATGAAAAATTGTTTGTTTTCGGTCCCAAGCATGGCCCCTAAAAATATGAATAGCTATCGGGTGCATGCTATCGCACCTGGTGGTGTGTGCTCTGTGCATAGGGAGTCTCGAGCTGCTCCTGCAGCGGTGCACTTTACTGTCTTCGCCACTCTCTCTCCCCATTTCACGCTTGAACTGGCCTGTCAATAGGCAAATACCCAAAAAGAGCTGAAGAGAAAATTTGTAATACTCCTGCTTATAAGTCGTATCACAAAGAGTACTTCGAAACAGTATTGCATATGCTGCATTAATATCCACTGACACTTTTCACATTAATCACGTAAGTTATCCTGTGTGCTGCATATCGATCATAAGGAAAATCAATAGTTATGGTTTTGGTTGATTACTGTGCCATAATATGGTTTATATCATTGTTACTATGCTAAAGTCTCCTTATTCTCTCCAACAGTTAGTCTTAAACCAAGCTATTAGAAACACAGCTTCACTGTTGGAGCTATGACTTAAAAAATCACTGCAACAGGATGATGACTCATTTCCTACAATCTGCGTGCTTTGTGTCTTCAGACAGGACAGTAATGGTACGTATTATCACCAGTGCCCCAGATACAACTGTATGATGTATCCATGTGTGATACACGGTCCCTGATGAACAGATCGTGCTGGAACATAGATAGACGTTAACAGTAATAAGAGAATACAGTGTTCCTTTTCTGCAACAGCACTGTCTGGTCCACAGAGAAATCACAGTTATCCAGCACTCCCGTGTAACCATTCCAGGTTTCAAAAGAAACGCTGCTCATTCACTTTGAGTGGTGTGATATAATTTTTGCATTGTGGTTGCTCGGCCATCCAAGAGGCAGCACAGGCTCTGTGGTTGTTGTCCTCATGACCATCACGCCAGTACCAGCCACACCCACCTAGGTCTGTGTGTGAAGATTTAGGTGAAAGGGAACTATTGGCAGAAATTTTATGTAAAATTATCCTCATGATGTTTTCACTAGTTTGTTTCATCTAAATTGTATGAATTGTAGTTTTCTTTACCCCAGAAAAGGTCCTTTATATTTAAATACTTTATATTTACATTGAGGGGACCCTCTCTACGGAGGCCGCCATGTTTTTTACATCAGTCCAGACTGGACAAACTAAACACCTTCTGAGTTTTTATGACAAATGAAGCTACCACAGGTTATTTTTCATGTTTGGAAGGAGAGGGTGAGGTGAGGGGTGTTCAGCTGCAACATGTGATTCCAACACTAGATATCACAAAATTCTACACACTGTACTTTTAAAGCAACATGCAAATGCTCACCACCTACTGACAGAAGAAAGAATAACAGAGCATGATATTGGTGACCGAAATGCTACTGGTGTACTGTGACAGTCCCAAAAAGAGCAGATATTTATTCTTGTCCATGTTCCCTCTGTTATGGTCTCCATCAAGTCCTGAGGGAAATATCTGCTTCTTTAGCTGCTAAATGCTCCACTACGCAGTCCAGCTGCTAACTTTGTCTGCTGAGTGCTCGGTGCTGAGCAGCTAGTTAGCAGTTGATTGACCAGAGCTTCCTCACTGATAACATCTGTCTGCTGCTGGAGCACTGACACTTGAGCATATTAGTAACATTTTTAATTGTATAACCAAAAAAAAAACCCCACAAAGGCACTCCACTGAGCTGAGGGGAACAACAGAGTTGATCCTCATAATCTGCAGGTTCTTCACCAAGCGTGACATCTTTTATAGACGGTTGATTTATCTATTCTATAAATGTCACCTTTATTATTTTCAAAACAACCCAGTCTGACGGAGCTGAAATAAGAAGGTTACACAAGTGTCCCTGGTCTCTTTCTTCTCCCTCCCCCCCTCTCTCTCTCTTCTCTCCCCTCTTTTCCACCCACCCCTCCTCTCTTCCCCACTTTTCTCCTCTCACCCCGACCGGTCGTGGCAGATGGCCGCCCCCACATTGAGTCTGGTTCGAGGTTTCTTCCAGTTAATGAAGGAGTTATTTTTCCCCCACAGTCACTTAAGTGCTTGCTCCTTATGGGAGCTGTGGGGTTTGTCTATAATTCTTAACGTCTCTACCTTAATATGTAAAGGGCTTGGTGATAATGTATGTTATGATAAAGATAAAACATAGATTAAAAACTCACATTGCATTGAAATTGCCTCCATGATTGAAGTATTAAATTATAATTCTAACATAAATGTATACTTTATAGACGCTCCGGAACATTTTATTTATAGGATACAATTTGGCATCTGATCAATTATCCTGCTGTATTTCTCATATGTTATAAAACGTCACCTATAAGGGAGAAAAGTACACTTAGGGTTAGCACAACAGTAGATTCATCTTTTTGCTGTGTTCATCAGATCCCATTGTGTATATGTAAGTGTGAGGGCTCATGCAAATCCGCATGCACACACGGGCACGCACCATAAACAGTGTCTCTGGGCTCTTGAGGTGTTAAAAGAATATCAGAGCATCGGAACAGCGTGCTCTGCCTCTCCTCTTTCTGATCTTCTCTTCAGACCCCTCGTCTCTTGATGGTTCACACGTTCTCTCATGCCTGTCTGATCTCCTTGTGACCTTTTCAAAGTTATACATACAAAATGAGATTCTTTCCCTTCAGGAATGTTCCATTTGAGGGCGGTCCCATAACTCAGAGGACACTTACCAGCGTTGCAAAGATTTTCAAATGCCCATTGAGACACACTGTGCATGATTTCTTTCGTCTTTTTTTTCCCCATCTCAATTCTTCTGCCTCAGTGTTTTTCCATAGTCATTCCACACTTCAGCTCTCACTCTACATCTAATATTGGGCCAAGATTTCAATTTGTTGTTTGACCTTTTCTCAGCTACATTCTATGGTAGAGTGCAAATAGCATTGTGCTCCCAGGGCTTTAATGCAGGGTGCTGAGCGTCTCTGAAGAAAAAGTCCATCTCAATTCTGCAAACTAATACATCCCATCAATAGTGTCATATTTTTGATCTCTTGGAAATACAGCTATTATTTGTGGATTGTGCACGCTCACCTTTTCAACATTGGATTCTGATTCTTGTAATGCGTCTCCGCCGCTGCC